TGGTGTATGGTGGAGGAAGTGTAGGTTTGATGGGTTTGGTTTCTCAGGCGGTTCATGATGGTGGCAGGCATGTCATTGGGTGAGTTCACTGGATTTCTTAGCTTTCTTTGTGGAGGAGAAATGTCTGTAACTTTCTTCTTTTAATTGCAGGGTTATTCCCAGGATTCTCATGCCTCCTGAGGTATGCCATTTTTCCATGACAAGCACATTAAGATGGGAAAAGAAAATGAAGTATCAATCATGTTCAAAGCTTTCTGCCTGTGTCTTAAATGTAGAAAACAAGATAGAATTCTTTTGGCAGTGACATATGCTGTTAGCTTTGTTCTTTTCTCATTTAGTTCTATGGCTTTTATATATAGTGCATCACCACTGGTCTTTCCTCCCACCATGTTTCAAGAAAGTTTCTCTCTCTCTCTCTCTCTGTCCTTACATATGTCATCATTGATGCAGAGTTACTGATGCTTTTGCTGCTGCAGATAAGTGGTGAGACTGTAGGGGAGGTGAAGGCAGTAGCAGACATGCACCAAAGGAAGGCAGAGATGGCAAGGAACTCTGATGCCTTTATTGCCTTGCCTGGTTAGTATATGAATCAGCTGATCTTTCACTTGCTACCACTTTAATATACCAAGGCAACTCAAGAAAGGGAAAAGTAATGAGTACTTCCTCCCCAGAATGACCTGGGCTTGACTTTCCCTTGTGTGCAGGTGAATGGTGATGATTTTGTGACTCCTTTTGAGCTCTGTGCTTCAGGAAAAAGCATGATGAATTTTGCTTTTCTGTGTTCTATTTTTTATTTGCTTTTACTGAATAAAATATTCATTATAGTAAAATAATGACTAGTTGTTTAAAGGAAAACTTTTGATCCTCTCACTACTCTCTTCTTAGATTGGTTAAAAGGCTCAAACACTCAGGTCAAAAGGAAAGTTTTTGTTATGTTTGTCTGATGAACTTTATCAGACCACTGTTTATATGCAAACAAAGAAACTGTCACTCTTCATTAGAAGTTTGACTGTCTTGGAAATAGATGGACTGCTACCTCAAATTGTTTATCCTATTAATCAAGCAAGTCAAAGCCTTGTAAAAGTGCAAAACAATTCCAATTCCAACAGTTAGCACAGCATCAGGGAAAGTAACTAAAATCAAATGGAAATAGCAGAGTCTTTTTAGGTCATTTGAGCTGGTGTTTCAACTGTAATCAAGGGGCTGATTGAGATGTTGGTGCAGGAGGATATGGAACCCTTGAGGAGCTGCTTGAAGTCATAACATGGGCTCAGTTAGGCATCCATGACAAGCCGGTAACGCCTTTTCACAGCTTTTCTTTTGATTATTTTGATGAAGATACACTTGTTGTTTTAACCGAGGAAAATAAGGTTCATGGAAGTACTTCCATGATCAAGAGAGAAAGATCCCATTTGGATTCAAATTTCCTGATCATAAATACCTACACTGAACCAGAAGTGACATGAAAATGAAATCTGAGCGAGTTCAGAAACTCTTTTGATTACTCTCCATGCTCGAATTCTTCCCTGGTCTTGCATCATCTGTGTCTCTTCAAGAATCCACATGCTCAAACTGGTCTCATATCTGGATATGTGATCTTTGCAGGTTGGCTTGCTGAACGTAGAGGGATACTACAACTCCCTGCTATCTTTCATTGACCAAGCCGTGGAAGAAGGTTTCATCAGCCCGAGCGCTCGCCACATCGTCGTATCTGCTCCCACAGTGAAGGAACTGGTCAAGATGCTGGAGGTAATTCCTCTTTCTCATGAGCAAAGATACAACAAATTAGCATTAACAAGTTAGTGGGAAGGTCTTCATCTGAGTTGCATCTGCTTCTTCTCGTGCATCACAAAGGAGTACTTCCCCCGGCATGAGAGAGTTGCCTCCAAGCTGAACTGGGAGATGGAGCAGCTGGGATACTCTCCCAAGAGAGAGATTTCTAGGTAGAGAGTGGAAGGAGGAGAACAAGAAGAACACAAGCGGAACCTCGTTTTGGCTTTCAGGGTTGCAGATCGGGAGGCAGCAGAAACACTCCTACCTTGAGGAAATGCTCAGGATTGTTGTTCATGTAAATTATCACAGTGTTCAGATGTGTAATGCTACCAACATATCTTCTTCTCCAAATGCATAGTACTAATCATAACAAGGCTTTGGCAACCATGTATTGTGTATGTCCAGCTATGAAACCTTAAGGAAATTGCTACTCATGCATAGTGTGTTAAGGAAAAGTAAAGGAAATCTTAAGATCACTTGCTAATAGTGCAGGATAACAAGAGAAAGCACTTGAGAGTGTGATGATGAGCTGCAACATATGAAGAAGAGACCTGTCCATCTCAACCACATCAACACATCTGAAGCTTGTGGAATGAAGTCCCAACTCAAAGTACTTACTCTTCGTTCAGGTTTCATCTGTGTCTCACTTAGACAATGACACGGCTACTTGGATGCACGCTGGTGCCAGCTATCGACCCACCAAACACGTTGAGCAGTAGCATCACCAGTCACCAACCATCTCGTCAATCTCAAGGTGAGTTGGGAGCTTACAAGAAAAAATTATCTCTAATTATATGTATTAGATTCATTTACTAATAAATGAATTTTGATACTCAGAATATTGATCTTATAATTATATATTATCCTCTGTAATTAGTTATCTCGATTCTTATACGAAGATTATATAGAAATAAAAAAAAAATGACTTTGAGATACTATCAATCATATGGCGCACTCGCTTACCTCAAGGTCGATCTGAGAGGCAGAAAACTTTGGATTAAAAATGACTTTTTATGCAGGTGGATGATTTGATCGGAAAAGTCTCTCCCTCTGACTAATTTGAATAAACATGATAGACTTCATCACATCTCATTGCCTCTTCTTTATCGGCACTCTTGTTTGTCACGTAATCAACACGTTAAGAAGTTGGTGGAAAGTGGGCCATTAGCCACCTCTTGATGCGATTAATTTATGTGGTGTAATCATAATGTGCCCTCTCTCTCTCTCTCTCTCTCTTTCTATCTCTCTTGTGGCTATGGGAGCTTGGAATCCATCACCATCACATGCACCCACCTCATCTCCTCCCTCTTTGTCGGTGGCTTCTTCGAGAACAATAATTTAACACATGGAATTAATTTTTTGAAGTTTGAGTTGAAGAAGTCTATGAAAAACCTCTTAATTACTCATTGTACTTTTAGCATCATAATCAATTATAAAGAGGATATTGATACAAATTATAATTTTAACTATAGTAACTAATAAATATTTTACTATATTTAAACTTAACAATAAATATAAAAAGCAAAATATATATTGATGTTTAAAATACTAATTTAATGATGATATGTTAGGCTTATTTATTGAGGATTGAGGATTCAAATTTTCATCTTATAAATTTTTTTAAACTTAAAATGTTCATTTGATGATAATGTGTTAAGCCTACTTATAATGATATGATTTGAAATATCATCCAAAAAAATCTTTAATATCTATCTAATTAATAAATATTGAGAATTCAAAATCTTATATGGGAACTATGAATGTGTTATCTATCTTACTCATACAGACCTTATAATATCACTGAAAATTTTTGGGATCAAGATTCATCTTTACCAATTATACTTTATAAAAGAATAAAAGAATTTGAGAGATCTGTATACACCTTTGTATTTTGTGTGTGTTCTTTGTTGAATCATCATGCATCCATGCATGAAGTTATTAGTGTGGAACTACTGAAAAGGTTTAAGAGAGAGAGAGAGAGAGAGAGAAAGAGATGGCCAGAGGTCCTAATTGTGGTTTGGCTTGGCTTGGCTGCATGTATGGCTGAGGAAGAGGAAGAACAAGTGGTCATGTCTGTGGCATCTAGAAGGCTGAACAGCTTAGTTAGGATGGTGTCCTTTTCATCTGGGAGGAGACACCAAAGAGAAGCCATCGGCAACACAAACCCCTTTCAAATAATTTATCTTTCTTGGGGAGGGGAAAAGATGTTTTTTCTTGAATTATTAATAATGTGAACCACTTTTAATTCATTTTGTAATCAAAGATTACCTATAAGAAATTTGATTTCTATATGAAAAAGATAAGTGATTGTAAAATATCATTATTACTCATAAAAAATCATATAATAATGATAAGTTGATAGAGATGTTTGAAATTTACTTTTAACTCATATAGGAAAAACTTTTACCATTGATAATAATGTCCCTAGTTCCAATTATATCCTTACCTTTTAATCTTGATAAAAAAAGAAATGAGATATAGATGATAAATAATTGAGAGAAAATTTTAGATCAACAATTATAATTTTAAGTGATAAAATCTATTAAGAAAGACTTTGGCTATAGTTAATCATTAATTTCTTTATAAAGACCATAAGCTTGTAAATATTACTAAGGGGTTTGATTCAAAGGTTAATGTTAAACATGTAACTTTTAAAAATATTCAATAAATATAATAAAAAAATAAAATGGATTATGTAAAACATATAATTTTTCCAAGTAGAAATTGAAAACAAACCTATCTTCCTATGATAAAAAAAAATCCACTTTTAATTGATAATAAATATAAATTAGTTGTCCTCTACACACACACATTCACCTGAATTCACCTCCATAAATGTCTTGTTTTTGGATTAATAATAATAATAATAATAACAGAAACTCAATTATGCTAAATCCAATCCTCTCATTACCTTCACCATATATGCTCAAAATTTATATTGGAGGGTCAACAAGTGGCTACAGCATGAGGGGACATTCAAGTAATTTCCATGGCGCCCTTCTTTGACACCCATGCATGTTGTCAAGTTCCGACAGGATTCAGATAATTTATTGGCGATTCATGTGGGGCCCAAGAGTATTGTATCGGAGAGCCAACCGAAATAAACTATTGTGGTTGGCTACTAATCCCTGAACCCTATTGTTGGACCATGAGGAAATCCTTAACCCACCGCAGGGGCGGAAGAAATCTCTCCCTTCCGACGCCTTCTCCGTCCCCCCTTTTTTATTCCTTCTTTCCCCTCTTTTTCTTCGTCTCATTCCTCCCCGTCCTCTTCCCAGGCCGCGTCGGAGAGGAAAGAGAGAAACCCTAGGGCTCGTCGGTGGATCGCTGGCGAATCCATTCCACCGATCTCCGATTCTATTTGCTTGATTCCTCCTCCGATCTCTTGTCCCCCTCTGCGACCCGTTCTTGGTCGGATCTGGGTCGCCAAGATCATCGACTCCCGAGGTTCGTTTCGTTACCTCTTGTTTCCCTTTTTTCCTTTCTTTTTATTTTCCGTCTTGGATATCGATTTCCTCGTCGCTGCGTCTCGGGGCTCGGGTTTGAATATTGGATCTGACCTTAGCTTGGATTTCTGGAGAAATTTCGCTGATTGCTCTATTTTTGTTCTCATGTTGGTGGATTTGATGTACCGTGATAAAAAAGATTCCGTTTTGGATCGAAAAAATTGTTTCTCGGGACTGGATCTTTTTGTTCATGTTGATTTTGTTTCGTTTTTGTTGGATCTGGACGGGGATATTGGTGCCGTGGATCCCAAATTTAAGCTGAAAATTACTAGATCTGGATGCTTCTGCGTGGAATCTTGTCATAGTTCGATCATTGTGCTGGCCGCTTTGTAATTATTGCTATTCTGATGGATATGATGTAATTTTTTCTACTCTGTTTGTATAGGTTTTCGATAGGAGATACTGTCTGATTTCCTTCATATATACTGTGGAAACTTCTAAGGTTGACTACTTCCATTTAATTTACTTGTTTACTATTTAATTTAGTTGATATTTTGTTAGCCTGTGGATGACATGTAGCAAATTCGTACCTATAAAAAGTGCATGAGATTGAGACGAATCTGGTGCTTTGTTTGTTTTTATGTAAAAAACTTTTTTTTTGGGTCATTTTCTAGGGTTTTTGACATTTTCGTATCTTGACGTAATGGGTATCTTTTTATCAGCCCTCTTTTTGGACATTGGCATATTGCAGATCGTGATTAGCTTTTTCATGTAGTTGCATGTAAAAAACTATTCATGATGCCGCTATTCTTTTCATTTATTTGGTGCATAAGAATAGTGCACATAGGTATACCTTGACCCAAAACCCCCTTTTCTTGTTAACTGCTGAATAGTGCACTTGAGTCTGCTTTAGGCGTTGATAAAAAATAAAAGCTTTTCAATTTTTGGTCATTTCCTTTTGGCTGTTGTACTTAACTAATTGCAATTTCGGTTTTTATTTCTAGATGGTTCTTATGGATAACATTGTTGGCATCTTATTTTGTCTATCTGTCTAATAAATCCTATTATGTTTCCTTGTCAATGATAGAACAACTGGTTAGGTTCTTTTGGATTGCTTACAAAAGAAAATTCAAAGAAGGCTGCTGAAAGAGGAAGTGTTCTTGATCAACAAGGATCATGAAGAAAGCTTTTGATCAAACTGTCCGGGACCTGTAAGATCTTCTGTTGTCATGACTTTAACTAGTGCCTTGGAGTAACTTTGGACTTTGTTACCAAGTAACTCTATTGCATGCAGCACTATACCTTGATTATATGGGTCCACTTTGCAGTGTTCTTAATCTTCTCAGGTACAAGGTTAACTAATTTGTCACTTCTTGCATGTGCAGAAAACGGGAGGTGAACAAGAAAGTTCTGAAGGTCCCCAATATAGAGCAGAAGGTGTATTGTGTAACATATCTCATATGTTATTTGTTCACTTAGTTGTCTATATTCAGGCTGCAACTGAAACTGAGTTTGTCAGTCAAGAGAAAAGGATAACTGCTTAATTAAGTGCAGATTACTGAGATTGATATTTAGCGTCAAAGATGATTCTGAAATAGTATAATATGTTCTTTTGGCTAGTTGTGAAGCTTACACATTTATGCTTTTGGGATCTTGACTTCAGATTCTTGATGCAACCAGCAATGAGCCTTGGGGACCACATGGATCGCTTCTGGCAGATATTGCACAGGCAACCAGAAACTAGTAAGCTTGTAACTCTATCGATCAGCATGCTTCCTGCTGCTGCTTGTTTTATGGAACCTCATTGGTTATGCAACTGTGTAGTCATGAATACCAGATGATCATGAATGTGATATGGAAGAGGATCAATGACACAGGAAAAAACTGGCGGCACGTTTACAAGGTGTTGAATATAGATCTTTCTATACATTTGGATCTTGTGGTTTTCCTAGTTAACTCTGATTTGCTTAACTTATTCAGATTGTGCACATGCAATGCACCATGGGATTCTGTGTGTTCATTTTATTTGAACTTCAGATATTTATTGAATCCTTATTCCTAGTAATAGTTTCATTTATTGTTCTTTTTTCAATGATAAATGTAGGCACTGACTGTTTTGGAGTACCTTGTTGCACATGGATCTGAACGCGTGATTGATGAAATGAAGGAGCATGCATACCAAATATCAGTAATATAACACTTGCCCTTTATCTCTCTTCTGCATGCTGTGAAATGTGTCTAATTTGGCTTGCAACTATTATAGATTATGCTATACATAGCACTCTTTTGACTGTAAACAATGCCTGTATTTCAGACTTTATCAGACTTCCAGTATATTGATTCAAGTGGAAGGGATCAGGGAAACAATGTTAGAAGGAAATCCCAGAGTCTTGTAGCTCTAGTGAATGATAAAGAAAGAATACAGGAAGCTCGGCAAAAAGCTGCTGCTAACAGGGACAAGTGAGTTAGATTTCTGAACTTAAGCGATATTTCACTTTATGTATTTGATGTATCTTCCATTCTTGGATAGATATCGAAGTACGTTTTCAACTGGTAGACCTGGTTCACATGGAGGCTATGGTGATCGTTATGATGATGATCGTTCTGCTAGTAGAGATGAAGACCGATATGGTAATGGAAAGGAAAGAGAATGGGGATATAGAGATGATGACAAATATGGTAGAGGTCGGGACTCTTATGGCGGAGAGGGGGATCGATATGGTAGGTCTGCTGATGAACGTTCTGGCAGAGATGGTTACAGAGATGATGACTATAGAAGAGGTCGTGGAAATGATGATTATCAGTATGGTTCAAGAAATAGGAGCCTCAGCAGAGACCGTTCCCTTGATGATGATGACCGCTCATCTCGGTAATGATACTTGGTTTTACTTTGCTAAGAATGAAGTTTTTTTTACTGATGCCAATTCTGATTATGTTGATCTTAAAGTAGGAAATCCTCTGTGAATTGTCGAGGCATGTTAAATTATTAATTTATGTTTTACTAATTGGTGCCCTATTTACTAATTTTAAATGGTATGATCTATTTATTCCACCATCCAATGAATTGCTGTTTATCATAGCTTCTGTAAAGAATGATTATATGGCATGCTTAATTATTCTCTTCTCGGTTGCAGAAGTGGAGGCGGCAGAGCTGACAATCTTCCTCATGATGAAAGGTTGTGAACTGTTGAAATTTCTGCTTTATAGACATTATAGTTCTGAGACTTGTGTATTCAAGTTGTGTTGAACTCGGGCTACACTTTCTCTGGACTAATAATTATTTATATAATCAGGCAGCTGGACCGTAGGCTTTCTGAGCAGAGTATTGGTGCACCACCAAGCTATGAAGAAGTTGCAAAAGATGCTCAAAATCATGTAAAAGAAGATAGGTATGTGTCTGTTATTACTATGTTCTTTAGAATTGTGCAAGTCGACTCTGACATCAGATCCACTGGCAGAAATGAAAGTGATTTCACAGCAGCTGCGCCAAAAGCATCTTCGCCATCAGCTCCTAGAGCAAACTCTTCTTCAGAAGGTAGGAACCAAACTTCTTCACCTTTTGCACCAGCAGCAAGCTCTCCTTTTACAAACCAAGGCTCAGGCCATGCTCCGGCTGGTGTATCTGCATCAACAAACAACAATGATAACGGTTTTGATGAGTTTGATCCACGTGGTATGGCATCAGGTAATGCAGATTGTGGCTTTTGTAAGTGTAGCATTTCTAATCTTCCTTTGTTGCTTATGTGAAAATGTTGTATCAGTTTTATGAGCTATTTATCTGGTAATATAAGAACAAATAGGTACTAATTGTGGCCAAACAATGTGGTTAGTTGGTTTCTACTATCTTTTATTTCTAAAACTTCGGGTTCAATCCTCTGACCTCTCTACAGGACTTCACAGCAGCCTAAATTTTTACCAGAGGCTAGGATCATTTTAGATTAATTAATTTTCAAATAAACATATCAAATAGAAATGGATTTTCTCTGATCTCAATGCTGCTTTACTGGTGATTCACCTTTTAAGCTATCTGTGTTGGGATTTTGAAGTCACAGGGATGCTAAAAGAAGAACCAGAGGAAGATACTGGTTACTTATTTTCGGTGCAAGTATGTGAAAGATTGGATGCCAATATCAGAGTTTTTTGAAAAAGAGTTATAAAGAGTATAGGGACAACATGGAATTAAATGAAGAAGAGTAAGGGAGGCCAGAAAGAAAATGAGATTCAGTAGTAAAAAAATTTAATTTGGTATATAGCAGAGGATATGTTCTACAGTAGATGACCAATTAATGAAGGGGGGTGTAGTCTTAGGGGACAGACAATAAACAATAACAGGGATATAGATCAAATAAGCATAACACACTGGAATAAAGGGAGAAAGAAGGGGAAACAAAGAAAGAGAAACAATTTTTAACAGTAATTGTGATGTAATGGGTTACACCACAAATCCTAAGCAAGGTTTAAAAGCTGGTCTCGTGAACATGTCAAGTCGATAAGCATTGGCCATAAGTATGTCCGGTCCGATTTAGAGATGAGATGCGCAAAAAATGAAAAAGTAATGATTCAAATTTAATTCATATGTGGTGTATATAGTGGCAGCAACATTTGCGGCATTTAATTCTATGCTCCTAGGCACTCAACCTGATCGAATTTTAACCCAAGATTGAAACCTATTCCTTGAGAATCTAACACATTACTAATATATAAATGATCTTCAGATGAAGGCAAAAAATTTATCTGTTTGAATCGATGAAGCCTAGGTGATGAGACCTAGTTTCATTGCCCAAGGTGGCCATTTTTAACAACATTGATTTTTGTTGAATTCTCATCTGTATTGCTAGATATTAACTATACACTGTTAGAAATAGTTGGAATGAGCCATGCTTGGACAACTAGGCTAAACCTACCTGGAACAGGTCAATTTTGGTCAATTCTAGCTGATCTATCAAACTTGAAAGAAGAAAGAGGCTAGTTACTGCTTCCTGTGGTAGTCACAAGAAAAGGGTAGGAAAAATGGGAGTGGAGGAATGATTTTTTTTTTAAATGTGATTATATGTGTTAAAGTGGAGATGATATGTATTAAGTGGAGATTCACTATCATCGTGTTTGACATTTGCCACTATCATCGCTTCCATAGTTGGGGCATGTTTGTTGCCACTGCATGAGACAGAGAAGAAATGGTGGATGGAGAGGCTTGGAGAGGGCAGAGACCAACTTGTAGCATCATAAGGCCATGGATGGCATGATATGGTAGATGATGCCATGGGATGTCATTGGATTTGGTATTAATCCTACTAGCACACTCTTCAAAGAGTTTCATAAAAGTTGTTTTTGCATCACACAGTGCTTCACTAGAAATGGTGACTGGATAGGCTTGGGGGTCACATAGGGCCAAGTTCTGTTTTATTTTGTGACAAATATTTAGTTATTACCGCCACAATGTACTGGTGAGTTATCAATTGATGTTTTGGTTTGCAGTTAACCCCATAAATAAGGATGCTTTTCCGAATCACTTTACCTGCATTAGTTTTTAAATTTTCCATCACTAATTTTGAGTTAACATCATGAGTATAGAATGACATGTTTTTCCTCCTAATTATCATTTGTCGTCCTCCCCTTCTAAAGCTGCAGCTAAACCTTATCAATGCTGCCTTTTTTTATGTTTTTTTAAAACAAATATATGTTTCTTATATTAGAATGTAATGATTATTTCAAGTCATAGTTCTGTTGTAACAAATGCATAATGAAGAGGTAAGAAAAAATAAAAATAAACTGAATTCTAATAAAGAATGCCAAATTGTTTGGAGATCACTAAATTAATATGATCGACTCCAAAATTTAATAATAACTAGTGTAACTTGTTTTTTGATGCAACTCTCTTGATTTGATGTCATAACATGTCAATCTTGTAATGAGCAATAACAAGGGCTTTGTTTCTTCCCACAATCAGCTGCTCCACCTGCTGCGGGTAGTCATGAGATGGACTTATTTGGATCAGCATCAGCATCAGATCCTATTTATTCTCTGGCATTGGTGCCATTGACTACAACTAACAGTGGTACTGAAGCTGATCTTCCTGCAAATTCAAGTTTTGCGACAGATTTTGTTGCTGCATCATCGGCATCTGCTGTATTCAGCCAGGTTTGTTTGATCATTTAATTACTAGCGTAAATCCCTGGATACTTGCAATGCAGTTAATTGTTTAATGAGGCACATGTACATGTACCAAAATCAGGACAGGCTTTGTTACAGTGTGGACTTTTATGACATTATGAAGTCTCATTAACAAGAAAAGTCCTGCAGTACAATTTATTTCTTTTTTGCTTGTTATACAGTTACAGTGAACTGTGATGGCATTTCCTTTCCTCTCGCTGCGTGCATTTGTTTTACTCTTACTGTATCAATCTTATCTTGCTTGACTGAGTGTGATTCTTTCTTCTTGACCTTTTTGTCCAGGCTGGTGAAAATCCTTTTGGGGATCCTCCTTTTATAGCTACTCAAGAAAATTTTCCCAATCAGCAAGAGATTTTTCCACCAGTCTCTTCCTTCAATTCAATTTCATCTGGAGGTGCTGAAATTCTTGCACCTGCAGCTCCCAAGATTGAAACAACCACAAGCTTTGACTTTGATGGCTCTTTTGGTGGTGTTACTTACAATCCTGTATCGGATGGTCAACAAAGCTCTTTTGCTGGTCCTGCTATGTTAACTTCAGAAGCACCTGTGACCCAGCCGAATAATATATCAGGTATGCTTGCCCCACAAACAGGATTCACGGCCTCAGTAATTCCGCAGGAATCCCGGGTAGCAACAACAGATGTCCTGGGCAACCCTCTTCTACAGTCAGGTCCACCAGCTATTTTTGCATCACAGGTGACTCAATTTACTGCACAGGAGGCTCGTCCTATTGCTCCAACAAATCCACAGACCACCCAGCCGAACCTTCTTTCACAGTCTGGCTTGCAGGCTCCTCCTATGGAAGTGACCGCTTCTACATCATCTTTGACACCCGTGAAAGCTGTTTCTTCAAAAGATAAGTTCGAGACCAAGTCAACGGTGTGGGCTGACACATTGAGTCGAGGACTAGTCAATCTGAACATATCTGGATGTAAGTGTTTAGTCTTTCTTACTCAGTATTTAGTTGTTTCTCAGTTCCAATGTGCTGTTTATGAAAAGGCACTGAGGATTCACTAGATAATATATTGTTTACAGGTCATGCATATGCTTAGTTTTATGATTGATGTTCTGCTTGTAGTTTTTGATTGAGGTGTTGCTTGTACTTTTATGTGACATCATAGTGCATTCATGCATCACATGTACATCTCAAAAGATTACATATGGTAACCATAATATCCATGCAAGTTTTGCATCTTCCACATCAGCCATATTACATGGCTTTCTTTTTTGTGCTCTCTTATTCATAATTGAATTTCATGCAGCTAAAATTAATCCTCATGCGGATATTGGAATTGACTTTGATTCTATAAATCGGAAAGAGAAAAGGAAAGAAGAGAAGAAGGTATCTGCAACCCCAATATCTACAACCACAATGGGCAAAGCTATGGGATCTGGTTCTGGCATTGGCCGCGCCGGTGCAAATACCCTCATCCGCCCCGCCAATCCCACCATGGGCATGGGCATGATGGGTGGTGTTGGTATGGGAATGGGCATGATGGGTGGTGGTGGTATGGGAATGGGCACGGTGGGTAATGGTGGTATGGGAATGGGTGGTTACGGTGGCAGCATCAATCAACCTATGGGCATGGGAATGCCGCCACGACCGCCGATGGGAACCCCTATGGGTGGAACTGGTATGCCTGGGGTCGGATACAATCCCATGATGGGTATGGGCAACTATGGTTCGCAGCAACCATATGGAGGTGGATATAGGTAAGGAGATCCTCATTCCAAGAAATAATTAGACTGTATGGTGTAACTAGTTGATACCAGCATCATCGTATTTGCTATCTTGGTTGGAGATGTATCTGCTGATGTGTTTGATAATGGTCTTGGTATTTCAAACATTACTAGTGGTCTCGTTGTACATGAGTCGGTCATTGCTCTGTTGTAGCCGTCACATGGGTGATGTATGGGGTTATATTGGTCGTAGAGTGACTCCTTTTTTGTGAATTTTGGAAGAAGATTTGTTTCAGCATTCATGCTGAATAGGAAAATAAAGATTCATTATTAGTAATTTCACAATGAAATATTTGCTCTAGTACTATCGATTGGGCCTGCTGAATTCAAGGTTTGTCAGACGAGTTTGCCTCTCATTTCTTCAGGTTATTTGATGTTAATGCTTTACTAGTGTGGTTTCATAATTTTTGAGTGTTCGATCTCGGTACTGATCACTTTGTAGCTTCATTTTATGTGGTTTCCCGAATGCCTGCTGGTTATTTAGTTAACAATGATCTGATTTTGGCATGTCAATATGAGGTATTTAGTGTTCTTAAATCATAGTAGAATATTAGCAATTAGATTTTGACATGCAACTGCGTGCAAATTCCAAAACATTTGTACATACTTACATATTTGCCCACTGTGATGTCTTAATTTTTGTTTTGAAATATGTACAAAGATGTACATAAAATTTTTTGGATTTTTATTTCATTTTATTTTCTCTAAGGGCAGTTCTCAAATCGGGATTTCTTTTGTTCTGCCTTTTTCAGATAGTTTTCACTCATTCGTGTAGTATTCTAATTTTGATCATATTAATTTTTTATTCATATTCTTACAATTGTCTTCTAATTTTTTATTAGAGCGAGGAAGACATGGTGGTCGTATATAAAACCTCTGACATCCTTATCCATTTTAATAATTTATGAATTTTTTTGGTAAGATTTCTTTTCTATTAAATAATAGCAAAGATATCTAACTGTTTGCTCATAAGATACTGTTAATCTTTTGTTTTGGTATCACATTTGGACATATTGATGTAATGGATCATATTCGAACAATCCTCTATTTTCTTGATTGATTGGGACTAACATTCACAGTGTCGTGCAAATTCTAAAACAATTATATTTACAAAATAATTCCATCTACCTTTTCCAAATTATATATTTTTATTGCAGAAAATAAAATTCAACCTCCATTATAAAATACTTGATGGCAAACATGTTATGTCAAAAATTCTAAATGATGAGTAAGCAATTAGGAAAATAATATAAGAAAAAAAAGCTACTTTGTCATTAAACAAGAACTCATGATTCACAGGTTTAGATGGAACCCTAAGATTTTTGGTAGGAGTTTGTGAGCTTGTTGTGGGTAGTGTGAATTCCATGCTCATTAGCAGACTCCCCTACCAACTTGCAGTGTTCTCACAGTAAGGCACCATTCCACTGAGCTCCTTCAAGGAAGGTGGTGAGGGATGGAAGTCACTGCAGATTTGTACTTGCCTATCTTTAGGACAAATTCCTATGCCTAATTTTACAGCCTGAGGACATTAAAGGTCACCTGAAATGGGAGCTATGCTGACATCTCTCCCATGGAGAGTCAAGTTGACTCTCCTCTTCCAGTTGACCTCTTCATCAAAGATCTGAGGCCAAACCTGCCTAAATTTGACAGTGCCATGTGTACATACATATATCTCATCCAGTTGTTCTCCATCCGAAATATCTCCAAATGATCTTGTGAGTTAGAATCCCAGATTCTGTCATCAACACTTTTCAAGACCAGACACAAATCTGGTCTCAGATTTGATTGTGGTCAAACTCCAACATTGTCGTTAGATCTCCAACCAGCAGCTGAGAGTCTAAAAGTCAAACCAGCTTAGGTGATGGCAGTAAAATATCTGCATTAAATCACAGTTTCTGCAGCGATTCACTCTGTTCTGATGTTATGTGTAATGAGAGCATTCGATCTCTACTGTTCACCGAGGATAGAAAGTGATTAGAACTGGTCATTAATGGATGATTAGTTTCCTTGGCTGTTGCCTCTACAAACGTTGACTAACATGTAAGAAGTCTCTCTGTTGACCTCTGGATGAAGCATGGCTGCAACTCCAGTGAGAACTCATGCAAAAAATTGTTTGACTAAGATCAAATCCTCTCCTCTTTCCACTCGCAATGTTTGGCAGAAGGCATTTCGGTGTTACACCAAAGAGAGATGTATGAGTTTCTCTTTAGATCTTCTTCTTCTTCCTCTCCTCTATTTATACAGATCAAACTCCACCTACAGATCAAACTGCAGCAGAGACTGAACACCTACATTGGCTTCTCCGTTTCCCTTCTTTCTTTTGAGGTACGATGTTCTGCTCTTTTCTCCATGTTTATACAGATGCTCGTGTGAGTTGGTAAGATTTAGGAATATAATTCGAAGAGAATTAGCTTTCCGTCAGATCTACCACATCTCCCGAGTTCCTTTGATGGGTTTCATTCGTCCTCTGACCATGAGAAACAGTCGGCACCTGGAAGGGATGCTCAATGACTATGTCGTGGGTAAATCGAGCAAGATGAAGACTCCAAAGCTTGCTTCTTTCCGCCTCGTTGCAGCCCTGACCTGCCTTCAGTTCGCCTTCGCCATGTACGCTACCTTCCTCTTGTATCACATGAGCTCCTCCGTCGGCGAACGCAGCGGAGCTGACTTCTCTTGGGCCTCCCGGATCGCCCACCACTGGACGCAATTCGTCGAACACTCGCACGCCCCGTCGAGCACCCAAGAGGTCCCTGCCGGCGACTTCCTCGCCGAGGTCTGTGAGCACGAAGAGATCGATTTCGTACAGAAGAAATCGGACGATGCGTTGATGATCAAGCTCAAGAGGGAGCTATACGATGAAGTGTTGGCATTCCAGGAGGAGAGCTCGGGGACGGAGACGCTTGCCGAGCTTATGAGGATGGAGTCGAAATGGAGCCCAAAGGGTCCTTCCATCCCAAAGATCACTGTCATCTTGAACCATTTCAAGAGGAAGACACTCTGTGCACAACTCGATTCATTGCTCAACCAGACACTGCCTTTCCACCATGTTTGGGTGCTCTCTTTCGGCAGCCCAAGCGAGCTCTCACTGAGAAGGATCGTGGAGAGCTACAACAACTCCAGAATCAGCTTCATCAGCTCGAGCTACGACTTCAAATACTACGGAAGGTTTCAGATGGCCCTGCAGACCGAGGCAGACTTCGTGTATATCCTGGATGATGACATGATCCCCGGCAAGAAAATGCTGGAGATCTTGTCCCATGTTGCAGGGACTGACAAGTACAGGAACTCAGTCCTGGGGAGCATTGGGAGAATCTTACCTTTCAGGCAGAAGGACTTCACCTTTCCAAGTTACAGAAAGTTCCGTTCCAAGGAAGCAGGCCTCTACTTGCCCGATCCTGCTTATGACATCACCGTGGACAAGATTGTGCAGGTTGATTTCCTGTCGAGCTCTTGGTTTCTATCTGCAGATCTTGTCAAGACGTTGTTTGTGGAGACACCCTTCACTTTCATGACCGGTGAAGACCTGCATCTCAGGTAATGTCTTTGCTTTCTATTTGGCTTTCACCGAGTCGATTCTCATGTTGCGTGCATCGGTGCAGTTATCAGCTTCAGAAGTACAGAAACGCTGGGTCGTATGTGCTGCCTGTGGATCCAAACGACAAGGAGACGTGGGGAGACAGCGAGCACAGGCTTGCTTACGTCTCTGAAACCACTGTCATCTTCAAGGACATCGTCCAGGTCAGGGATGATCAATGGTGGCGGGCTTTGTCGACCGGTTATATTACTCAGTGGGCTGCAATGAACCCTCAGAAGATCGACGCTCTGTTTTACGCGCATTCCCTCGATGAAGTGAAGGCACTCTCCCCTCTTCTCGAGAAGTTCCGGAAGACGGTGGGGAGGAAGGCCTACATTGCTGTCTCAGGCGGGGGTTCTTCCTGCTCCTGCGAGGGAGCTGTAGCTGTTCTCGGGTGGCCGAAGGTCGTGTGCAAGGAGAGGCGGTTCAAGATCTTTGATCTGGAAGTCGGAGCGATCTCAGGCGTGTCGAACTCGGAGGTCCCGGTGGTTCAGGCTGTGTACTCGAGCTTGAAGGGGCTCCTCAAGATCCACAACCCGAGTCTGCTGATCGCGGTCGACGGCATCGATGCGAACGTCAAGAACGCGCTAAGAATGGCGGCCGAAGGCAGCGCAAATGGCACTGCTCTGGTTCTTCTGCCGAAGACCGCTGTGTCCAAGGCCTTGTGGATGGCTGATCTCCGGCCAACAGCATTGCCGAGTAAGAAATGTAACCCTCCGAGCTCACATGTAACCTTGTTTCTTACGTCCACGGCCTGTTCGTTGCAGATTGGAACCGGATGCGGATCACCGTGAACATCATCACCCAGAACCGAGCATCCTCTCTACAGAGACTTCTCAGATCTCTGCAGCAGGCACATTACCTCGGCGACGAGGTCCGCTTGAGCTTCAACATGGACAGCAAAGTCGACGAGGAGACTCTCAAGGTCGTCGGGTCCTTCCGATGGGCGCAAGGGCCAAAGCTGGTGCGGCGGCGTATCATCCAGGGCGGCCTGATCCGGGCCGTGAGCGAGAGCTGGTACCCCTCCGACGACGACGAGTTTGGCCTCCTCCTCGAAGACGACATCGAGGTCTCCCCCTACTACTACCTGTGGATCAAGTACGCGCTCCTGGCTTACCACTACGACCCCCAGGTGTCGCTCCCCGAGCTCTCCTCGATCTCCCTCTACACCCCCCGGCTCGTGGAGGTGGTGAAGGAGAGGCCCAAGTGGAACGCGACCGAGTTCTTCAAACGGATCCACCCCAACACGCCGTACCTCCATCAGCTCCCTTGCAGCTGGGGCGCGCTCTTCTTCCCCAAGCACTGGCGAGAGTTCTACGCCTACATGAACGCCAGGTTCACCGACGACGCCAAGAACAACCCGGTGCAGATTCCCAAGTCGAGGACCAACGGGTGGCAGGCTTCGTGGAAGAAGTTCCTCATCGACATGATGTACCTAAGAGGGTACGTCAGTCTGTACCCCAACTTCCCGAGCCAAGCAAGCTTCTCCACCAACCACATGGAGCCTGGCGCGCACATCAGCGCCAACGGCAACGTGGTGAAGCATAACAAGGAAGACTTCGAGGTGCCATTGATGGGGGACGACTTCACCAGCCTGCTGCCTGCGGGGAAGATGCCTCCGGCCTCCAAGCTGCCGGTGCTCAACCTGTTCAACCAGGCAGCCTCCTTGAAAGGGCTGAAAGCGGCGGGTGCAAAGCTTGGACAGGATGTGATCGGCTGCGACAAGGCGGAGATCGTCGTGGTTGATGGGAGCACTGGTTTGCCGGGGAATTGTTCGAGGTTCTGAAACATGAAGCACTTAGCGTTCGTTGTTTGTTTAGGGATTCCTTTTTTCCTTTGTAATAAATGTAGCATTTTATCTTGATCGACAACAAAATAATATCATGATATAGTTCTTAAATTTGACTTGATAATTTCGATAAATTCTAAACAAAAAATCCCAAGCTTTTAATTTTTTTTTGTTTGATAGAGTACTTTTTTTTTTAATCAAAGATGGGATTATAATTAATCTCTACCTAACTTTCGTTGCTCGCCTTCATCCTCTCGCAAGCTATTGCCATTAGCCAGCAGTGTCAAAGCGGAGGATGAGGTTAAGGGTAAGAAGGTGACCACGGTGTCACATTCGTCCCACCGTCTCGTTGATCATTGGATTCTTCTCACATGTTGCACTCGTTGATCTCGACGAAGGGTAAGGAGGCAATCGTGATGTTGCTTTTACTCCATCGTCTTGTGCCACATCGGTCGTTGGGCTCTCTTTATGCATCACGATCATTGGTCTCGACGAAGGGCAAGAAGGTGACCATGATGTCACCTGTGCCTCACCTCGTTCTATCATATTTGCTACCGAGCCTTCCTCGCACATCATCGTTATTGATCACAATGGAAAGAAATAGGACAATTACGATGAAACTTTATCTCTCTCCTCCTTTGCATAATATGCATAGGCATAAAGCGAAGTTTTAGTAAGACGCAAAAGCGTAAGGTAAAATCGAATAAAGGCATGCTCCTAAGAACGTCATTTTAAAAGATGCAGAGGTAGAGAGAGAGGTGACGATCAACGAGATAAATAATAGAGATACTATTATTTTTTAGAAAATAAATAGTGTCCTACTAAAAAATAATAAATTTTTTGGAGAATTTTTCCTAATAATTTTATACTTACAATAATTTTAAACCTACTATATATATATATATATATATATATATATATATATATATGTGGGTGAAAGATGATATTGCAAACAATGATGAGTGGAGATGGTATGAACAAAGCTAGATTTGGTGCTCGGTGTTTCCTGTGTTAATCTGTAATCGAGAATAAAAATATTTATGCTAATTAAATCATCAGCATTTATCTTGTAAGATGGCACGTGCAAGCACGTGCATCTTAACAAAATCCCAAAAATAAAAAAGAAAACTGAAGAAACTGCTTTTACATATTTATCCTTGAAGGGTTTTCGAATTATAGGTTTTGTAAGAAATAAAGGAGATTTTATTGGCACATGACACATAAATCATCGACTTGGGAGGGATACATATGTAATTTTATCTGAAATATTTGGGAAGGTCGGGAAGTCGCGAGTTCCTAGGGACGAGGAGAAGGGTGGAAGTCGTCGAAGAATGGGAAGAACCAGCGCCGCCATGGCGGTCTTTCTCTTTCTCCTCCTCTCCTTGTTCTCGATCCTCCAACTTGTCTCTTCATCGCCGGAGATTCGAGTCCTCAGCGCGGAGAGAAGGGTGAGATCTCCCGGCACGGAGAAAAGAAATTTCCGTCCAACTTTTCTTTTCTTCTTCTCCTTTATTTTCGTTGCTTGGTTGGCTCGTCTTGTGTAGATCCATGGATTCCTTTAGATCTAACTGTTGTTGCACTCGGCGCTGTTTGCAGATCGACGTCACCGCTCCCATCGCAAGGGTTTTCTTGACTTTGAAGGTACATCTTTCAGGATTTCTTTTTGATTCTACTTAATTTGACCATTTGATGATGTCTTATGATCGTATGTTATCTAGTACAATCTTTGCCTACTCAAATTGAAACTGCTCGCTTTCATCTCCCCAATGTTTGATTGAATGGGAAAAAAAGATATTATTTTGTGCGTCACGTTTTCTTCTTGACGCTAAGACCAACTGTATTCCGTAAATTACTGCTGATGCAACACTATATTGTTTTCCTCACTGGTAGTCTTTTAGATTGGTGTTCCGTGATATATAGTGTCCATGAAACTTGTTTAGGTGGAAAATGCTGGCACATCTGAAGTTTCGGAGGTTCTTGTTGCTTTCGCACCTACTGAAGCTGAGCATTTAGCAATACTAAAAGCATCTGTAGCTGAAGGGAAACGCAAAAAGAAGACCTATGTGCCTCTCTCAGTGAATCCAAGTGAATCTCCAGATGCACCAAATGGTGCTCAGCTCTACTCTGTTTCATTACGTAGTCCTTTGAAGTCTGGTGAGGCAACAACAGTGGAGGTGCTTTATGTGCTAACTCATTTGCTTGAGCCCTTCCCAGCAGAGATTAGCCAATCAGAACCACAGCTTGTGTACTACCGTGATAGTGCAACTCTACTGTCACCTTATTATATCGTGGAGCAGATTACGAGTATTAAGACTCCCAGTAACAAAGTGGAATCTTTTACAAGAGTGGACCCAGCTAGTCGTGTTGGTTCTGAGCTAAGATATGGCCCTTACCATGATCATGGACCATATTCATACTCTCCAGTAATTGTGCATTTCGAGAATAACAATCCCTTTGCAGTTGTTGAAGAACTTGTTCGTGAGATTGAAATTTCGCACTGGGGAAGCCTTCAGATAAGGGATCATTACAAATTAAAACATGCTGGAGCACGACACAAAGGAGTTTTTTCAAGGTTAGTTCAGGAAATCTTAAGAATCATAGTCCCTATACTGTGTGACTCTAGTTATAGATGTGAATTTATATGCACATATTATATGTCTTAAATTTATGCAGATTATCCAATTTTGCTCCCAAAATGCTTTTATATCCGATATCATTTTCTGCTTTTGATTTTCTTGTAGGCCTTGTTCGATTTACATTAATCTCATGTTTCTCTGATTGTCTTGAATTGGTAAAGACATTCTTGTCACTATATTCATTTAGTCAATATAACAAATGGTGCCACGTTATTTTTGAAAGGCCTCAACTAATGGTTTGATATCAGATATTGAGGAGTAATCTGTAATGTCCTTGTATTATCAGAAACAGAACATTATTTTAACCTCCACTTATGTACATGACTTTACTTATGTGTACCATAATTTTCAAAACAGAATACCAATCTTGTTTAACCTCCACATTGATTTTGTTGAGAACAGATAGATCCAAATTCTAAGACGAGGAAATGCTGAATAGTTTCCATCTTAATGGTTTTTTTTCGTTGAACTAAATAATTTGTCAACATATCGCTTTTTTAATTGAGAAAATTGGCTGCTGGATTTGTCTTCTTATTACCATCTCTTTGTCTCTCTTCTCCTCTACTCCTTCGATCCTCTAAACCCAAAGTCGCATTTGGCTACTTTGCTGCCCTATTTTTATATCTCCTGAAAATTAGTAGTAGTCAAAATCTATAGTGACCTGCATAAATCCAAGTTGAAGAGAACTTGGCAGGAATCTTGGAAGTTGAGAACTGCTATTCCTTTGCAGCAGCAATACCAACCTCTTTTTGAGTTTGTATAGTCCGAGATATAATTGGAAACACATGTAGAGCCCTGCTACATCTTCTACTCTACTTATTTGCAATGATATCTCATATGATGATGGATATATTTCAGTATATAAGGTATAGCTTGCTCAAGAATGCAGCTCATATACTGAAATATGGACTAGGAAGTAGGAACAAAATATATAATGTATATAATGAAGCAAATTGAGATGAGAACTCCTTGATATTAAAGTAATACATGACATCTTTGCTTGTAAAGCAATATGTAAGCCTTATGTCCCAAATATTAGATAGCTTATGGTGAATAAATTGTGAATTTTATATTTTCCTTTACTTAGAACCATCTATAGTTTAGAACATAATATGCAGTAGTACTTCGTAGTTCGTTCTATAGGACCTGATAAGAAGACCTGATAATATGTGGTAATACTTTGTTCTATAGTCCCCAATCCTATAGGACTAGAACCAACTTACAACTAACATAAACTCCAAAAAAGAAGACCCGATAAGAATTTTATTTAGAACTGCATATGAAACTCACATCATGATTTGCCAAATTTATCGATCTATGCCATTTGATGCCTCACTCTTATCACCCAAAATAACTTAAGAGCTAGTTGGAATCACTCGCTTTTGGGGATACTTGCCGTTGGTATTTTTAAAAGTGTTAGGCGCTAAATGTGCGGCCTAGGTTCCATTCACTATCAGGTGCTAGACAGTTGTCTAGTTGATAGGATATGAGCCTCCTATGATGATTATCTGTAATTTGAAGAGATTCGGCCTCCTAAGTATGAAAGAGGGAGAAATGAGAGATTTTACCAATAATGAATCTGTGCAATAAATTTAGAGGAACTTTCTATGTAGCTTATTGATTGGTCTGTTAGTAATTTTTTATTCATTATACTGTTGGAAGTGGTTATATTGATAGTGTTGTATGCGGTCTTATTGATTTCTATCATTTCTTTATTTATGGTTTAAATTGGCTACTCAAGGACATGCCTATATTATTGTAAAAGGTTTTTAAGATGCTTAGTGCTTGTTAGCTGATATTCTTACCAAACATTCTTGCTAGGCTTGAATATCAATTTAAGCAATCAGTCAGCGGTGTTGCTTCCTTTAGGCACCTTCTTATGAAGCTGCCCCCCCGAGTTCATTCAGTATACTATCGTGATGAGATTGGAAACATCTCATCATCTCATTTGCACATTGATTCCCAGAAGGTACTTGTTAAAACTTAACGCAAAATATTTTCTTCAAAAATTTCATTTGCATAGTGATTGGCATGTCCGATGCTGAGTATGAGCACCATGCATGTTACTGCTGATCCAATGCAAGTTACATTGGCACAGTTATTAAAATGATTGGTTTAATGTGACACTGTCTGAAGTTGTGTTAGCCTTCCAGTTTTTGACATGTTTAGTGTGTTAACCATCAGCATGGTCTTAGCATGATAGTTGATGCAATACTGATACATGGCCAACACATCCAGTCGTCACTTTTGACTGACTTCTAATCTGTCATTTGATAAAGTTAGATATGCCTCTAAACTAAAATGGCATTAATTTACTAAGATTTGCATATGTTGCCTGCTCAGAATTTTAATGAGTAATTGCATTCCATCTTTAAAAATCCTTAGTTATATAAATAAGTATGCAGGGTATCTGATACAATTTCTTGATGGTTTGCTTTATGCTACATGCTAACATATCTTTTTCATGTGCATTTTTCAGTCGGAACTAGAAATAGAACCTAGGTACCCATTATTTGGAGGGTGGAAGGCCACTTTCACCATTGGTTATGGGCTGCCATTGCAAGATTTCCTGTTTGAATCACATGATGGCCGGCGTTACCTCAACTTCAGTTTTGGATGCCCTCTTATTGAAACAATGGTTGATGATCTAACAGTTAAAGTAAGTCTTATATAACAATGGTTGATGATCCTATGAGTGTCCAAGTATCATGTCTAATGCATACTTGATATGTACTTGATATGGATATGACAAGCAAGTTAAAGTATCCTTGTCTTAATTGTGGAATAAGTAATGGCAAAATTTTTGTAGCAAAGTTACTTGATTGGGTTTCTTGTTATAGGAAGTTCATTTTTAATTATATTTAATTACAAATACTAGGAAACTAGATTTTGAGAAAAAAATTGCTTTCGCAGACTTTGTGAAAGAAAAATTATTTTTCTGTATTGCTGCAGGTCATTCTTCCTGAAGGATCAAGAAACCCTACAGCTGCAGTTCCCTTCCCAGTGGATCAGCATCTTGAGGTAATTATATCTACTCTGACATACTCTAAATAGGCAACCTTGATAAGTTAGGTTAAGTATATCTTGTTTGGACAATGTTCATAGTCTCCTAGATAAGGGTTAATTATGAATGCTTCACCTGGGGAGATCCTTTATGCAAAAAAAAATTTCTGTTATTTTCTGTTTATGCAAGAAAATTTATATGACCTGATACAGGTGCACCAGCATAGGGTATATTAGATTTTCCTGTTTTAGTTAGCTGCTTTGTGTTATAGTTGATTAATATGTCCATGCTAATTTGGGCTAGTTCCTCTTGAGATGTCTGTGGGAAAAATTATTTGAAAGACCTTTTTCATTCAGAATTTGTGATTTGATGTTCTATTCATGTAGTGAGAATACGCATCTTTTCTTTGAAAATAAATTATTTAAACTTCTGTGAAATGTTTAATTTGCTTATAGATAGTCAGGCATTTTCTCATGCAACTTAGTGTAAAAGACCTTGGCATTTTACATGAATAAGTGGTCTTAATCAACCAAAGTAGATTCTTCAATTCATTCTTGATAGGTAGCAACTAAATATACTAAATGCATCTATCAACTAAATATATAAAATGCATTCACTTTGCAATTATTTTGTTTGATCAAGTTATATATTATTCTTAGAAGTTAATGATCCCACGATTTTTTATTGCAAAGTGAATATATCTTGAATATCCAGAGGCTGTGTGACTTTGACTAATCATGCTGTCAAAATGAGATAATTATCATGCAATTTCAATACGCTTTATGACTGCTGGATCCAATTTTTATCAAAAAGTTAGATACTTAGTGTTCTCTTAAATTATGGAACTAAGGATCACCCTATGTGATCCATTGGAAGTGAAGCATCTTTGTTTAAGAGGCTTTTATTAACATTTTCTAGGATTTGAATGTTGTTGCAACATTGAAACATGTGTCATATATGTAAATAGTTTCTCTTGAACATTCCCAACTCCTTATTTGCTTCTTGACAACATGCATTGTTCAGAAGACCTTTCAGTATCTAACCATTTAACTCGTTTATCACAACTTTTTGTTCATACTTTATGCCCTAATTATCACCCATGCATGTCCATAATGTGCTGGCATGAGAAAATTATACAACATGACCAGCACTAGAATGACGCACACGAGATCTGCACTACATAACACAAGCTAGAAGTGTGCAAAAGGGCATATTTTATTAATCAGCATGGCCCAGATCCTTGTGCCAATACCATGTCAGCACGATACAGCAGGGCTCATAACTCCTCAAAACTCAAAATTATGATAATTTGTATATATCATCTGTGGTACAAAACTATGAATAAACATGAATCAATAAAGCACAGTTGCTGCTATTGAGAGATCTGAAAATTCTATAGCGAATTGATAATCTATTATACAACTAATTGTCTTTCCTGTTATGCCTGCGATTGCCTTCTGACCAGAATGAGAATTTATTTGTTCCATTATGCAGATGACTTATTCATATCTTGATGTTGTTGGGAGGACGACGGTAGTTCTCCAGAAGAAAAATGTGGTGCCAGAGCATAACACCCCTTTCCAGGTAGTTCTTCTCATTTTAGTGAAATTGATGCTTTCAATACATTTCATTTTACTCAAGGCCCTGTGTTCTTGTTATGCATATGCCTTGACATAAACATAACAAGGACACAGAAAGTGCTGATGTTGAAAAATAAGTACTTGACTGACACAGGAACTGGAATTAATTTATTCATCTTGACTGTCCTTTTGCTGCAGGTCTACTATGATTTCAACCCAGTTTTCATGTTTGCAGAACCCTTGATGTTGATATCTGCTGTTTTCTTGTTTTTCGTTGCATGTATCGCTTATGTTCATGTTGATCTATCTATTGGGAAATCTTCATAGACAATCTCAGAAGATAGACAATTACAATTTATTAGCACCTTAGATTATAAAACCAAATGCTTCAAGGTACAAGACCCACCCTCGTTATATTATTTTGGTGGCTTTTTGAAGATTCTTCTCAATTGAATTTAAGCCCTTTGTAGCATAGTTGTCACTGACAATTTTGGCTGTTATGGATGGCATCTCATATATTAGTAGTAATATTTGGATTTTGGTTGCTATATTTTTACAGCTATTATTCCCTATGTATGAAAGCTTTAATACATATTATAGCTACTGACGTGTTGCTGGGGTTATCATCATTACACCATTTGTGACTTACATATTTGGGTGTCGAAGTATCAGACAGATGAAAAATAAATTTGTTAGCTTGTTAGTATACAAGTCTTAAAAAGAAAAAAAGTGAAAAGAAACTGATAAATGGAAGAAAAGAATCATGATATGCTTGTGCATTCATAAATTTTGTTTGATACTATATAAAATAACGAGCATATGACAATTTTGTCTATTGCAACAAAAATAATCTTCATATGGTTCACATATGGTCAGAGAACTTATGTTGGAACTCCTATAGATATGATGCTGGTTCTATAGTGGAAATAACCAGGTATATTCTTGATGGAGCAATAATTAGTGCAAAGACAACAAGAGGTTGCAATTTGCAAAGCCTAAACATAATTCCATTTGCTCTATGTAGTGTGGATCTTTCTAGCAAATAGACAAGCTGCTTAATAACCTCGATGGCTGCATGTTCTTGGGCCAAACTATAATCGAGAAGCTCTAGTGTTGAACTGATCAGTAATCAAATTAAAGAGCATGAAAAAAGGGCACTGGAATTTGACCTCCTGCAGACCAAGGAGGCAAAGATAAACTATCAAGAACTGGAAGGGTACATGTCTAACTTATACATCTCATAACGGATAATAATTATTTGACAGGGTGATATGGGTATCTAATGATAAGGGACAATCTAGTATTCAGGATATTTTTGAGAGGCACTCTGGTGCTATAGCTTTTCCACTTCTGGATATGAGACCTGGTAACATGGCCGACTTAAGATTACTTTCATGAGAACTATAACTAAACCATCCATTATTTCCAAGGATCAGCTTGATTGTGTAATACAAATAGAGCAGTCCAGTCAGCTTTGTATCTTTTATGTCAGTACAGATCATCACTTGTTCCTACATCATCTTATGTAGCTGACATCAGAAGCTGTGAAGGTCATCATATGCTGTGTTAGAGCCATGGTTTTGAAGTTTTGTATGAACTCATTGTCTGGATCTTACTAGGTTGGAAGTGTGTAACCTTCCAAGTGTCATTCATCATTTGATTAGGTGTTTTTTCAAGGGGTAATAGAATCAATGCAATTATGAAGTGGATGAACAGAGAACTGTTATTGCAGAGCTTCTCCACATTGCTTTTCTTGTTGTGATTAACATATCCGAATTTGGATCTGAAGTGTTGCATCAACTAAGTAGTTTGGTTGCTTGCACTCTTTTACTCCAGTTGTATGAAATTTTTTGTTTGTTTTGTTGCATCTAGGAGTCCATATTCATTTTAGGCTATTGAAGTTTCTGCTATTATGGGCACTCTCATACAACCACTGCAATTACTAGGTTTCAGATGCAAGAGAGGCAACTAAACATCTGATTCATCTCATATTTTTTGTGAAATGTCTTGTTTCACAATTGCAAATTTCCTGCTTGTGTCTAACCAAATAACCCCTAAATACTTCACTGCTAAACTCATTTAGTGTTATTTTGTGTTTTCAAGAAAAATTAAGATGAATGATTCTGCAAGTTTAGAAAAAGGCTCCATGCTTTTTTTATTTTTCCCCTCTTAGGGTACCATTTGATTAGGTTGGAAATTTGGTTTTCCCACTGTTAAATTTTTGGATTGTGGTAATATTATTATTTATTACCATTCCAATCATGGAGCCAAAATTTCATTTTGCACCCTTCAGGAATTGATCCTGATTACCAGAGATATTATCCATTTTAGAACCCTTCTCCCTATGAAGAAGATAGATGGCATTTTCAAGCTATATTAGTCTAAAATTGAAGTGTTTGCTAAGAAAATGTTGAGGAGAAATGTGGAGGAAATAAATTAACCCTAATAATTAGAAAAGTCGGTCACTTCGACATCGTCGATCAGTGTAATTAGATGGCTATTCATCTATCTCGAACTCACAATGAAAACATGTTTAACATAGGATTTTAGTATGTCTTAAGGTTGGGTCAAGAGGGTCTCTTATGACCTTTTTCTTACTATATTGGAAGGTCCTATGAATTATTTGCATTGTTGTGATCGTCATTATATGTCTCGTGTTTCATATTACTACATATGAATAAAACTAGTGGACTTTATAGCATATATACCCTTTCAATGAATGCTGACAGTTCTCAATGTAACAAAGAATTATGCTATTATGATTGGATAGCTACGCATCTATGCTCAGATTAAATGACCTCAGAATCAAGTCAAGCGAGTATGATATTTTTCTCGAATAATTAAAAGCACCTTATCATCGATTTCCTCTTTCTGATTGCAAGATGAAGACAACAAATGCTTCAGCTCAATAGTATTTGCTACAGCATAACCATTTGGGTTTTCCATCATCTCAAGAAACATATCATCTTCCTCGCACTCCGACAGTGGCAACGACTACCAACCCATGCATTCATAACCTGTCCAGAGAAGGACTAATTCCCCAAGTAAACCTTTCCTCGCATGAATCCAAATCTGCGGCATTCTCAAGGAATCCAAATGACACACCACCAACTGTCTCTCTCTCTTTTCTGTGGACCCAAAGCCTTTTCCTTGACTAAAAAAAGTCTTCAGATTACAGGTTGCCCACCTTCTCTCATACTTGTCTTTGATGTGGCCTGCGACAGGGAGGCTTGCCATGGTTGAAGTACAGCAAGTTGTATAGGGTTTTTGTTTCCCCGTAATAACATCTTCTCATAATTTATGTGCCGCATGTCACTGTCATCGGAGAATATGAGCTTTAATTCCTCTCCTTTCTCTAATGAATTTAATCAGACAACTGCTGCTTTAGTTTTGCGTATTATGTTGATGAAAGCAGCCTTCTTTTAGTACGGCAACTTCACATAAGGTTTAACTAAGAATATTCATGTAATATCTATTCTTCTTCTGGATTTGCACTCGAAAGGATATCTATGTTAAAGCATCTATTAGATTAAACATTTGAGATTTGTGATCACTCCTTCACATATATGTATAGTAAGAAACCTACACCTGAAGAATCGAGGTTTGAAGAAGGAAGAGTTGCTGAACAAAAGGCTATGACAGGAAGGGGGTGATGGGATGGAAAACAGAGCATACGAATCCATATCGGGGGCAGGTTTTGCTGGCCAGACATGTTGACAAATCAAGTGCTTCCATTAGAGTTGGTCAACAAAAGCTTGCCCTCGTCACCACCAACCTTCCTGTGGCCATATTAAAACCAGGTTTCTTCATATGACTTCCTTCCTCAAGTCACTCTGCTTCCCCTAACTCGACCAATCCAACTCTGTTACTTGCAAATCTGAAGCTTCTACCTCTTGACCGGTATACATTGCGGAAATATCAATATAGATTACTGTGGTCAATAGTTCATGAGAAGAAAACAGCTGCCATTTAGCAATGGTAAGACTTTTGAGGCAGTCATGCAGAACACCGCATGAGCACCACTAACTTGAATGAATGATTCGTGGGTGTCTGCATCAGATGCTCCCAATGGCTTTCCATAAGCGAATCCAACCGCATTCTTTTTGCGTGGAGCAAAAATTATCGGCATATTTTCTATTTTGGGCTAAAACTGGTCATTTCTGGCTGCGCGAGCGAGCGACGGATAGCGAACGAAGCGATAGGCAGCACCGTCCCTGCTATACGAAAGCCCCATCCAGCCCTGTGCCACCCGAGGGTTCCAGGGTGCTGAGATGACTGACGTTTTGCTCCGCTCACGACGGTCGCCGCGGCACGCAAGAACAGCCCAAAAACGCCAAAACAGTCCAAAAACGAGCCAAAACTAATCATTTCTGACTGCGCGAGCGAGAATATCCTCGAGTTTTAATAATAGGATGAATTCCTCAGAAAAAAATTATTATTATTATTATTATTTTTTGTGGCAGAGCACTCATTTTCTTTGAATTTCTTGTATATTTTGAGGGAAATTTTAGTATCATAAAAAAACGTGAAGTTTAGAAGAAAAAAAAAGGGGGATTTTTTTTGGAAGAATTTGCCCATATTGATATTCTAATTTTTTTACAAAAGGAAAATTAGATTCTATTACCAATCACCTCTCCAATCACAAGAAATCAAAATCTTTGACTCAAGAAAACCGGTACAACAGTTGACCCATCCAAAATTCGTTGTTGTATTAATGATTTTAATCCCAATATGTTTTCGACTCCAATCCCGCCGAAATCCCGTCTTATTTATTTCATCAAAAGCCAATACGGTAAATAGAAAGATTGGTGAGATGAAAAGTGTCGAGGGAGAGGAATTATATATAGATTAATGTGAGAGAGAAGCGCGAGGAATTCCGGCTTCTCAAGGATCGCTCGACTCGATGTCAGAGCTGGTAATCCTATTTCCCATCTCTCTCTCTCTCTCTCTCTACCTTCTTCTGCTACATGCCGAAGGCAGAGTCTCACCTTACTCGTCGCCGTATAGTATATTGGTAGCGCCAACCTGTTGCTGTTGAGGCCGCGTAAAGCTGACCTCTTCCTCGTCTCCTTCTACTCCTTCTCGTACTGGTAGAGGAAGAAAGCGAACGGCACAAGCGACGCATCCTTTCGTCTCAGAGAAACTAGCAAATTTATTTCTTTCCGTCTTCGGATCGACGCTTTGAAGCGACGGATCCGAGGAAGGAGGAGGAAGAGGAATTCCGATGGGCAGTAGCTCGGAAGGAGAGGGGCGAGGGAGGATGGAGGGGTGGCTGTACCTCTTCCGGTCGAACCGGCTCGGGCTGCAGTACTCGCGCAAGCGCTACTTCGTCCTCGACCATCGTGACAGCTCTCTCAATTGCTACCGAGCCGCGCCCACCGCCTCTACGCAGGTGGTGGCTCTTCCTCTGCCGTCTCTTACCTTTTGTTCTATGTTTTCGTGGAGCAAAACGTGTGCTTGAATATATTGGGAATATAGGAGAATTTTGGGATTCGTATAGCGATTATACTACTGATTCTTGAGATGCATATATAGATCGCAATATGGATTTCATTTAGGTAGTTTGATGCGATTATTTTCAGTTCTTAGATACGAAGGGGAAATGGTGGGATGTGGAACATCACAGAAGAGCAATGGAGTGTTTAAAGCACGTTTGATACTGATATGGGGAACTAGTTTATGGAATGGAGTCCATGTTTGAATGGGTTGTTAATTTTGTTCCTATAACAAGTTTTGTAGTGTGGAATTGTTTTTTTGCTGAAGAAAAGCTAGGGATTTGGGGAACTGGTTTAGTCCTCCAGGTGATGGAGAAATCAGCAAAGAAATTGCTAATGACGTAATTGCTGAGTTTTAATTTTAAACACCCAATGAAAGAAAACTCTCATTAAGAAAAAAAACTTGAAGATTTATGGGATTTTATTGAGGCATTTAAGCATTGCTAGTTTGTCAGCTTTGATGTGCACCCTTCTCATTACATCTGACCTGTCCAGATGTATCCTGTACTGGTTTGGGAGAGAAGTTGAAAAGTTCAAAAGAGTAGGAAGATCAAAGGAAACTATTAATCTACTTGGGTCACATGATGTTCCAAAACATGGCCAAATTCATGTTCCTAGAGATCGGCTGTAACATTTGCGAATGAATTATGGAGAGCCATCAAGTGCAGTGATAGTGAGGGAGATTGAAAATTGGGGTGGTTGATACAAATATTCCTGTGATTCTCGTCTCTACTGATTTTTATGAAAATTTTATTCACTTACCAAAAGGAAAGAATTTGTTTAGCATATTTATAGTTTTCCACAATATTTGCAACTATCCAACTGAAAATTTGTTTCAATTTAGACACAGAATAGATAATATTAAAAGACAAATATAATGTCTTGGAGGTCCAACTTTGTGAAAACAAACACTGAGCACCCTGAGGTATGTTGATATTGTATGACAATAACACGAGTTTTAAATTAAGTTAAAAGGCATGAATCCACCACCGATGTAGATAATCATTCATTCTATTTAATGGAAACAAAGGGTAACCAAATGTACAAAGCTCCTGTCGATGTGGCGTGTGGGGATAGTTAGTGTAAAAAACAAGCATTTGTGCCATATAAGGTCGCTCCCTTGTAACCTTGGTTGATCTGAATACAGGGGTGAGAATGTGTACATTAGATGCAAAATAGATGGCAGGGGTAAGATGCGTTAACATCTTATAATGGTAAATATAGTAGCATGTCCCTCATAACTCATGATCAGCCACCAGAATATCAACATCAAAATCAATTTGTTGTTTCTGTTAATCATTTTTTTCTCTATTAGCACACCAAGATGTTAATGAACATAAAAGTAAAGCAAAAAAGTTCTCTTTCGGCCCAAAAAGAACATAAAAGTTATCTTACATTTTAGCCAGGTAATGGAAGGTACTAATATCATGATGTTTTTATACTTTCATTAGATGAAGCCAAATTAAGTACATTCTAATTTTTTGAGAGTAATTAGTGACCACTGCTAACATGTGCATAAATATTGTTCTTTCAGGTTCCTGTAAGATGTGCACAAATTGATTCCTGCATCCGTGTCAATGACAATGGGAGAGAAAATATCAAGGGGAATGTGAGAATACTATCAAAATACAGAAAGTAGCTTTTTTTAGACTATCATCCTGCTACTTAATTTGGAAAGTTAATGCCAACATACAGGTTTTCTTTCTTTTTACCTTGTACAACACTTCCAATCACAGCAATCAGCTTAAGGTAAAGGCTTCCAAATTATAGAAAATTTCTGATGTCAGGAATTATGTTGCCTGGACAATTTAAATATTGTAGTCCTGAAATTTGTCTCTGCAGTTGGGTGCTAGAAGTTCTGAAGAAGCAGCTAGATGGATAAGCTCCTTGATAGAAGCAACATTGAAGGTTTTGATTCTCTACAATACTTCAGCAATTATCTCTGAATGGAATTAATTGACACTGGTTATTTACCTGTAGGTGTGCCCCACAAAAGAAGATAACACTGTGGCTTGTTCAAAAAGAAGATGGCCATCTCTGAGGTTGATTATTGTTGTAAATTGATTTATTTTCTTTGGTTGATTATCGTTGTGCTTAATCTATTGTATCTTAATATCTGAGTTGGAAAGACAAGGTTTACTCTGGCATATGATGTTTCTCTATGATGCTTATACTTTGGATACTTTTACATTACAGGTTGAGTAGGAGACGAAGTCACATGCATTCATTTGGTGAGCATATTTATTCTCATCTTTTCCAGATGACACTAGTAGTGTTCTAATCATGATTGATAATGGAAGAGTCCAAGCCTTAGCTTCAGCTTTCAGTTCAAGTTCTTATGATTAATATGCGTTTCTGAAATATGCATCCCAAGAAAATGACTATTCTTGTACTGTTCTTTAGTATCTTGATACTTCTAAATTTGGTTGCTTAATTTTCCCTTTCTCACAGAAGTTTGTCTAATTGTTGCTAGATATGAATGCTATCTCATCTACGCAAATGAATCAAATAACATCTGATGTTGTAGCACCTTCTTCGTGGACAATTTTTGGCTGCAATAATGGTACATTCTATTAAATTTGTTTGAACATTTTTGCTTATTTTAATATTATAATTATTTCATAGAGTTTGTGCAGGATTACGGTTATTTAAAGAGGTGAAGGATGATGATTTTCTTGGAGAGGTAGTCATCAAATTTGGCTGATGATCCCTTGCATTAAATATATTGTTTTATAAATTGATTATGCTTCTTTCCTCAGCATTGGGATGACCATCCAGCTATAATGGCTATAGGTGTTGTTGATGCAACTCCCGAGGCCATTTTCTGGGCAGTTATGTCTCTTGGTCCATCAAGATCAGAGTGAGTTTATGTCATCTGTTGCCTTCAGAGGAATCGATTTAAGATGTTGAAATGACAAGCACAAGACACCTTGGACATAATTCTTGATTAGAAATCTATGGCACATCCACAGCAATGTTGGAAATGTCTAAGTAAAAACATTAATAAATGGAACACACTGGAGACAACTTGCCATGAACTACATGCATGGTAAACCTAGTGCTGTAATCTGTTGATATCTTCTCCTGCTAAATGGTTGGTATGGATGTTTCTTGCAGGTGGGACTTCTGTTTTGATCATGGCAGTGTAATAGAGCATCTTGATGGGCATACAGACATTATTCACAAGAAATTGCGTGGTGATTGGCTACCTTGGTCAGATTCCATTCAAATTTAGATCTTTTATTGTTGATCATCTTCATTCTACTATTATTTCCATACTGGTTCTTAATAGATCTTGACTAAACATTTAGCTTGTAGGGGTATGAAACCAAGAGATTTATTGGCACGACGTTATTGGAGGAGGGAAGAGGATGGAACATATGGTAATACCAGAGAATTCATTATTTTCTCCTCTCATCATAGAGCTTTACAATGGCCTAAAACTACTTTGCGCCTTTTGTACAGTAATTCTTTACCACTCTGTGTTCCACCGAAAATGTCGACCTCAGAAAGGATATACACGTGCCTGCCTTAAAAGTAATGTATGCTTAGAATTTGTCGGTGAAGTTTGCTTATCTATTTGTCAGATATGCAAACTTAAGATGATTGTATAATGACTTATTTCCACTGTTTGTAGGTGGGGGGTACGTGATATCTCCTATAAACCAAGGAAAAGAATCAGTAGTTAAACACATGCTTGCTATTGATTGGAAATTTTGGTTGCCTTATATATTCACCTCTTCTGCAAAAAATATTACTATCAGGATGCTAGAGAGAGTTGCAGGTATCATTCATTCTATTGACTGAAGATTTGCTCTTCAGTTTTTTTTCATCAATATTCTTTTGCTTTAGACATGTCATAATGCTGACAATTACTTAACATTGTTACTTTGCAGCATTAAGGGAGATGTTTCATGCAAAACTGGGAAAATGCCCAAGCTCTGATGTCTCAATGGAAGAACAAAAGAGAGATATCAGTTTGTCACTGACTGAAGATGTAGAAGGGAATGTGCAATTGCCAGTTGAGAATAGAAAGAGTGAAGAACGAACAGAAGGGTCCCAGGAATCTGATACAAAACCTGCTAGCATGAGTGGATCATTCCTCGAATTGAATGATGCTGCTGATGAATTTTTTGATTTTCCAGATGAACCAGAATATGATAAACAAGAGGATACATGGCCTTCGGATTCACAATTGCAGTCTCAGGTAGATCATTGCTATTATCCTCAAATTATCCTCAGCTTTTTGGAAAATGAAACATTTTTTTTTATAAGAAGACTTTACAAGTATTTTGTTTTATCTTGAAAACCTAATATTTTACTAACATTATTGCCTGACAATTTAACTAAAACTAATAGACCGTTTATCAGAAATTTGGAAGTAAGTTCCCTTAAATGAGTTCACACAGATTAGTGCAATAAAGGTCCACATTTCACACAGAAACCAAGAATAGCAGACAAGGGGTCAGAAGTGAGGTCCATTCAATCTAGTTGTTACAAAGAGACAGGGAAAGATTTAAAAAAAAAGAACAAGTTTGCATTATATAACAAAAGGGATAAGTCTCATTTTATCCAAATTTTAACCATGTTGAGTTGTGTTAATCTTATCAGTCAATTAAACATTCTTGTTACATGTTAGCTTTGTTGGTTAATATGACTAATGCAGAACCTTCAGCAGCCTAAGCTGTCAACGGCTGCAGTTCTTATGAAAAGGTTGCAGGGCCTTGCAGGTAATTTTGACAAATTCTCACAGCTTTTAATATCTAACAAAATATAATGAATCTTAGTCAATTGCATCTCATTTATATACCTTTAATTACTTTTCACTTGGCCTTATGCAGTTCAAAGGAGAGGTTACATGGACTTGCAAGATGCTCCAATAGGAGATGCAGCATCATGTAGTTATGGGTCCACACTACAAAAGGACTCCAGCTTTTCACTTCCTTGTAGTTGGGCAAGTGCAGATCCATCAACATTCTTGATTCGTGGTAGAACCTATTTACAAGACCATAAAAAGGTACTAATTGCTACTTGAAGACATCTATTATCATAATATTATATCTATGCCAAGAAAAAATGGTTCTTTTTCATTCTTCTAGTGAGATATCTCTAAATTGTCAAATTAAAAATTTTAGTCATATAGCAACTTCTCTAGGTAAACACATCACAAGCCAATACAATCTAATGTTATGTAACGTGTAAGATGACTTAGTTCAATTCCATCATTTTTTTCACTAGTGTTAATTTTGGGTGCATTTGTTAATTCATCTTCAAACAGATTGCTGTCAATGATACATTGATGAAAATGGTAGCTGCTGATTGGCTAAAGTCTGATAAACGTGAAGACGACCTCGGTGGTCGCCCTGGGAGCATTGTGCAGGTGATTGACATGTTTATACTTGACGTGCAATTAAAGAAATGATTTCCACTACCTGTATAACCACAGGAGTTTCAAATATTGCAGAAATATGCAGCACAAGGTGGCAGGGAGTTTTTCTTTATTGTGAACATACAGGTATGCTTTGCCATTCAAATCCTAGAACTGTGCACCTAGTTTCTCTAGTGAAACATATTACACTGAGGCTTCTTATCGAAATTCAAAATTCAGGTTCCAGGTTCAACCACATACAGCCTTGCTTTGTACTATATGACACATATACCAGTGGAAAGCATTCCACTGCTGAAGAAATTTGTCGGGGGAGATGATGCTTATAGGAATTCAAGGTTTAAGCTAATCCCACATATAACAAAGGTGTGTGCCATGTTTAAGTGTCGGTTAGTTCCTTGGCCGATTATTTGCACCTGCAATAATATGTTCTCCATTTGATATGTTTACAGGGATCCTGGATTGTAAAACAAAGTGTGGGTAAGAAAGCATGTTTGGTAGGCCGTGCACTGGAAATAAATTATTTTCATGGGACAAACTACTTGGAGGTAAACTCAGAAAGTCTTAAGAAATTGTTGTTTAGTATCATATGCTTTTGGTTGAACATAGAACAGACTGGGATTTTATGGTATGAGACTGTTGGCTGTCATACATCAAAGAAATGGTTGTGAGAAAAATCTAGTAAGATGGTCCACAACATGATAGGCTTTTTAGGAGTTGATGCTTTTTCTCTATGACTTATCATGGAAGTAAAACCAGAATTGTCTCATTACTGAAAAATCTTAAAATGAATTGGTGCTATTTTTAATAAAATAAATCACAAGGAAGTTGAGATACTTAGTTTATGTCTTTATGATGTTTTTTAATTCGAGATTCCATTTCCGAACACCCTGAAAAACCATGCAAAACCTTTCTACTGTGACTTCCTATTCAGAATTCTCTGGTTTCCTTTCTCCTTTTTCTTCTTAGAAAAATATATTCAGGTCACTAATTTATTACCAGTGGCAGTGCTTCCATTCTCTTATTTTCTTTTTCTACCTTTCTAGAACATTTTTCAGTTTATGGACCTTAATTCTGAGATAGATGAACTTGGTTTAGATCAGAATTGAAATCTGTCATTACTCCTGAGGTTACACTAGATACTCTTTAAGTATTGTTTCTCATTTTCATTTTGATGATTCAATTTGTTGTCTCTTTGATCATATAACTTCACATTCCCTTGCTAACTGAGTGAACCAATATCCTTTCGGCATAGCTAATATTAGCACTGTTAAAGTGTGTTGACTTCAAGAGTAAGCCAAGCCATGCTCAGTTTTCACAGTAATTTGTGAGAACACAACAAAGGTAGACCTAGCTGAACAACATTTTTGCAAGCTGATTGGTTCTACTCAGGGCCAGCTGCTATTTAACACCAGCTCTCACTTGTTTGATCTTAGATCGGATCACCAGTTTTGAAGTTGAAACAGGATTTAGGAAAACAAAATAATTTGTTAACAAAATAACGGTTGACAACATGGTCACCAGAAGGACGAAGAGATTCAGGAAACAATATGTAAACAGGAATCAGGAAACAAAAGCCTAAAAGCTGTTGAAAATGGATAGGAGGGACAGATAAAAAGTAAATAAGTAAATAAAATTTATTAATTAAAATGAGTTTATAACCATCAGCTTCTGGTCATATTTATCCTAATGCAATTCATATGGTAACTCTTTCATAGTCCATGACGTTTGGAAATATGAGACAACCACTTGGTGAGGGAGAGAGAGAGAGAGTAACTGGAGGAACTACATTCAACCTAATGCTAATAGGAAATTGTTACAAATCACCAAAGATGAAATACATCACTGCATATTTGTCATGTCCTTTTCACTATGGCAATGCCACTATGATTTGGATTTAACGAGAATGAAGTTTCCACGTATGATATCGGTTTCCCAATTTGGTACAAAGTGCAAAGCCTAGCACATTATGGTTTACAGGTGTTCTTGTTTCTTTCTGATCCTACCATATGATCATTCTGATATCTTTGCAATTTTCTTTTCTCTGAATTCCAGCTTGGCATTGATATTGGTTCCTCAACAGTTGCCAGGGGTGTTGTGAGTCTTGTACTGGGTTACCTGAGTAACCTTGTAATAGAGATGGCATTTCTAATTCAGGTACTAATCCAGCACTTTATGCTATCAAATAAATATCTTTTTCCATAGTTTCATTCGGCTTCATATTAATGTAATCTCCTAGGCTTGGCATGCAACTATGCATCTTCACCAAGATTCCCTGTAGTCTAAAAGAGAATTTTTTAGATGTTTCCTTCATCATTATAAAGCTATAAAACAAATCCATCAATTTGTGTTCATGATTGAGACCTTCCTGATGGAACTGTTTCTTATGTAGGGGAATTCAGAAGAAGAGCTCCCAGAGTTCCTCCTCGGAACTTGCCGTTTGAACCATCTTGATGCCTCTAAAGCAATCTCAATAAAACCATGGTAGTCCAAGGTAAAACACAATCATAAATTTTCAGAAGGAACTTTTGGTTGAATGACTAATATGATTATGTTTGGTGATGCAGGTTTATCTACCTAATTTGATTCTTTTCATGGTATAAATCTCAAATTGGGATGCAACACATTCAGGATAGGATTCTGAGGATAGTAGATGTAAAAAAACTTCATAATCTATTGTCATTACTCATCAATCCATTTTGTTTGATGAGCTTCATATTGTTTTTGATGAGTTTCCAATGTAAAAGCAGCAAGCTAAAATGGCTGCCAGGGCATGAAAAAAGATCATGTTATTTATAACCTTGATTTGGTTGAATTCTATGCCCTGAAGCAAATGATCCTCACCAGCTTCGCTGTTGTAAAATAATAATGTTTTTGGCATAGTCTGCAACACCAATTCAAGAGAAAAAAAAAAAGTTTAATTCCTTTTCAGGTGATCTTTGAAATTTTTGTCCTGAAGCATTGTTTCCATCTATATTCATAAGCTATTATTTCCATCTATATTCTATAATAGGCTACAACAATATGCATACCATTTTGCTCAATCAAATCGTTGTTAAGTGAGAAGGAGCCAATATTTCTTGCATCAAGTTTTTTTTTTTTAATATTTCAGAATTTATTTCTCCAAATTATGTCCACTGCATTACTGGGAAAGAATTACATCCACAAAGAAAATAGGCAAAAAGGAAACATGGTTTTATCTCACAGTAATTACCATCAAAATCATGTTGGAGTTGAATGAAGATAGATGTTAAATAGAGTGAAGGAATGAATTAAAGTGAAGCATAAAGCTGAAACATGGTTCAATTTATTTGTCTTTTTCCCTTCATATCCTAAACTAATTTTAATATCTGATTGCATTCTTCTGCTGATTTCAATGTCATGCAACATCTAATTTGTGATTAGAGGTTTAACAGGCCAACTCCATGAGTAAAAAATAATCAAACCAAATACTTATGATCAGGTCTACTCTGTTCCTCATCAGGAACATTGCCAGCTACATCCAAAGGAATTGTGGGCATGGGTTCTCTTATCATCCTACAGATTCAATTTAAAGTTGGTGGTTGAATCCATCAAGAAGGTAAGTGGGTCTCATTTCAATGTCTGATTGAGATGTAGGACTTGGAGTTGTTCATCATTCATAACTCACATTGGACCATTTGATTGTCAAGTAAGGTGATACTGTTTGATGAAGACATCATAGCACTGTCACCACTGGTTGAAGAATCCACATGTCTTATGTTTTAGGCTGTATGCAGTACCCCTCTCATGCTCTGAGATGAGGACATCACAGATTGACTGTGTTCATCTACCAAGCAGCTCATCAAGAGAAAACACTGCAGGAGAAATAAAAGAGGTGAATAATTATATATATATTTTTTACAAAGGCTAAATGATAAAGATATATTTAAATAACATTATAATCAATAACAATCAGCCAATCATATGCATAAAGAATCAAGAACACCAAGCTCCAATAGTTGAGTACACTAATCCCCTTCAAGTCTTCTTTCCCCTCTCCTTGTGATGAATGGCCAATTCTTTTTCTTCCTCTCTTTCACTGCTTCCTAACTGCCATATTTTTCTACTGTACATAACTTAAAAAGTGGAATTTGGAAGAAAGAATAATAACAAACGATCAAATCAGAAAGCGACACGAATCCTAAAGCTACGGAAACAAGAGAAATGATTGCGCGTGGCTAAGTTTGTTCGCTGTCATCGTCGTCTCATTCCTTCCGGCGCATGTAGCCGAGAAGATCGCAGCCGTCGGAGGAGGGCGCGGAGGCGCCGGGGGCGGCAGTAGAATGGCTGGCCTTGTTCCGCATCTCGACCACCTTCTTGTGGGAATTGGAGTGGAGCGAGGGGACGAAGGTGGGGCTGCCGGCGGGGCGGTACTCCGGGAATAGCCGCCCGGACCTGTACCGGACGCCGCAGGCGTTGCAGAGAGTCTTGGGCCCCATCGGGCCGGCCCTCCACTGCGGGGTCTTCTGTATCTCGCAGTGCGTGCACTTCCTCCCCGGCGGAGGCGAGCCCGGCTCGTCTCCTTCGGCCGCAGCGGTGGCGCCGGGGCCCTTCTTCTTGCTCTTCTTCTTCTTCTTCTTCGGGGGAGGAGGTGGGGGGCAGGACTCGCCGAAGCTCTCAGGGTCGGAATCGGAGGCCACGGACAGTGGGTGGGGGGCCGCGACGACGTCCGAGGAAGGGGGCTGGGGCATTAAGGTGGAGCGACGTTGGCGCTTGCTGCGCGCGCGGGTGGGGATCACAGGAGGAAGCTCCGGAGGACCAACGGGAGGAAGCATTGCTCTCGCGCTGTTCCCGCCGCCGAAGTACGAAGCCGAAGTCGAACAGGACGAGGAGGAAGCGGGCGTGTCGCCACCTCCCGTAGCGTTCGCTCCCAAGGCAGAGACGAAAGAGTCGCCTCGGGCTTTGGTTTGAGCGCCATTGTCATCAGCATCGTTGGCGATGGCGTCGCAGCTCGGGAGGTCGAGGGAGAAGGCGTCGGAGTCGTATAAGAATTTGGGCATCCATTCCAGTTGCACAACATCGAGCTCCGCATTGTGGTCGCCGGAGCAGTCGAGGGAGTCCAGCCCACCATCAGCAGCGGTGACGGGAGCAGCAACAGGGACAAGCGGCAGGGGAGGGAGGAGCAGAGCAGCGGCCGCGTCGTCGCAGTGCTCCACCAGCGCCATCACGTCATCGTCGTCGAGCAGGTCGTCGATGTAGTCGAACAGGTCGCCCATGCCGTCCTCCATGTGGGTCACGGTGACCGCGCCGCGTCTCAGCTCAGATTTATGGGCGCGCCATGGGATCAGGGCAGCGCAGGGCACACGGGGACCGAGTCGGGGCAAGAGAGAAGCCGAAAGAAGAGGAAACAAAGCACTGGCGCCAGTGGTGTTTCTCTTATGGCCTGTGCGTATATGTATGCGAGTCAGTACTTTCTCACCGTGTCGGCCGTGAGGAGGAGGACGAAGCCATTGGCTGTGGGTGAGGTGGAGCAAAATGATTGGCCGTGACGCGTCGTTTCCCCACCCGGTAAGAATGATGAGCGGTTGGCGCAGGGTTTTCTTCTCTGGGAAGAATGCTTCGATCTGTTTCAGTAAAAATGACAAGAAATATATATATATGTGTGTCAAATAATAGTAGAAAGTACACCACAATAAACTCCAGCAATTAAATGAGAATAGAGAGAGTCACTAAAGTGCTGTAGCCATGGAAGATGGTAACAATAAGAGATTAATGGTTAGTACTAATAGGATTGAGATTAAAAAATATATAAATATATACTAAAATGACATAAATATTACAATTAAAATATATGAAATGGTTAACCATTTTAAAAATGCTATATTAATAACTACAAATAAAGATCTAAATATTCTTAATTTCATCGAAAAACAATTATCTTTTATAATTGATTTTTTTGATATATATATATATATATATATTTATATATTTATATTTTGAAGGGGGCGATGGCTCCACAACACCGCACAGCGTGAAGGGGACCTCCGCGACAGGTGAGGTTTCATCTCTCACCGCTAGCTGTCTTCCCTAATCCCTTCACTGTCGTGACGTTGAAGTCCATTTCCACTGTTTTGATTCTGTGATGGTAGTTTGCTTCTCTCTCTGTTCTCGTGATTTGGTGGCTTTGCAGTGAGGACAAGCGAAGGAAGGGGGCGGGGGGGAGGGGGCGGCAGATCAGACGCACGCATTCACGACCGTGGCGGCCGCTGCTGTCTTCGTAGAGTAGAAAAAGACCGGTTTCTGCGCCTCGGCTCAGGTCTTGAGAGATTTCCGGCGAAATTAATGTGCTCCGCCGCCTCAAACATCTCGTCCATCTCCAACTTTTTGCAGTTCACTGAACGATTGCGTTGAGCTGTTCAATCAATATGGGATTCGATTTAAATATTTTATTTAAATATTAGCTGTATAATAACCCTGACTTATTGGACAATCGGATCTCAGATAATAAAGATTTTATCGTTTTACTTTTCGTATTTAATGTATAATCTTATTTATCATTAAATTACTACTTTCACATCTAATAAATAGTATCATATTATACATTGAATAATTTCTCTCGAACCATTAAAGATTAACGAATGAGTTATAAATGCTTATGACCGTTGAAGCAAAGTTCTTCTTCACACTAATATACTTGTATCTTATATGTGTGTGATCAATGCTATGCTTGTATCCCATGGATGGTCATGTCCCATGGAAGGAACAAACCAGCAGTGCTACTAATTAATTATCCATCATCATGAAAGGAGACATTTACCACATTGTCACTAATGATGGTAATTATTGTTCTCTTAAGTGTGACCTTAAATCAAGATTTACTTGACCATGCCATATGGGATCCATGTTATGGGATAATAACTCTTTCTCTTGTCTCCTATAATGTGAGAGGAGGTGGGTGAATCTTTCTAATGATGCTTTGAATCATTTCTCACTGGGCAAGGTGGACTGGTCTTTTGCAAGTTTCTTTTTTATCCATAGGTTTAGATGTATCAAAGATAACTTCCGAGTAACATATTATCTATAACTACCACCATTATTATACTCCACATTGATAGAAATGTCTCGTATCCTCCATCATGTATCATCCGTCCTTAATAAATGACTAATTTAAGTATGAAATGAGGTTTCGACAAGAATATTCTTATCGATCGCTTTCGTTATATTATCAAGTTAGTATTCGACACTTTAATTCTTGTGTGCACATGAAGTTGATGAGTTCCAAAGTTATATCATTCGATAAACATATAACATAAAATTAAATTAAAATTAATAAAAAAATATATTATCAATTAATTATTATCTTATTTGTAATCATCATGTCTAGAGTGAGAAGAGAAGACCAAGGTCACCTCTCTAAATCACACAATTGTAAACTTCTTTCTTATCCTTTATAATCAGATATAAATGCTCATCTTTAATATTATAAAAAATAATAAATTTATCTTTTTTTAAGATTCGTTATCTAAACTCACACATTTCGGATTATTAATTTGGGCGTTAGAAGGATTGGCACAGAGGAGATCTCTCTCGAAGTCGATCTTCATAGGTGATACATTGGGAGTTCAACGTTTTCACCTCAAAGACATCTCGGACAACCCTGTGCATATAGGTCCGGACCATGTCGGACTGATTAAGACGTTAACAATATTCTCCCTTAACATAAAAAAATATAAAAATAAAGAATTAATTAATTATTAAAGGTGATGCTGTTTGAGTAAAAGTATCCATATTATCCTTATTTGGTTGATTTGATTACAACAAGAAAATTAAATAAATTAAAACATTGTTGGAAATATCCTGAAATTGAATTCTTATGATTTGCTTTCAATAGATAATGTTATTTGGTATGTAATTACTTGAGAAGATATCAATCATGATAACAAAGTGTATATATATATATATATATAGTGTTCTAAACCCGAAGCAACTTGCATGGAGTGTCTCCTTCCCAAAGTCCACATAATTATTGCCGCCCGGTAGCTTGGTTGCATCACCGAGTTGGTAGATGGCGATGGCGATCGAACGACCGTGACGGAGACGCACCACTGTCTCAGACACACCCCACGCCAGTCTCCATCGCCACCTTTTCCATGCTCCTCCTACCGATGCAGTGATGGTAACTATGAATGTAGGTCAGGGTGATGCGATCTCGGCGGACACTGCCATTTCACTGGCCGAAGCTCACATGCACGCCACCTGTTTGTCTAATTGTCTGATCCGAATGACTCCGTCCACCTAAATAGGATCGTTGGTGTGTGACTAACGATAAGCAATGATGGGGGCGCGTCGGTGGCCGACAGCCGCGAGCAGCAGCGCCCCCCCAGCGACGAGGAGAGCAAAGCGTCGGTGCGAAGCTGTTGGTTTGTATTATTATTGTTGGCCATGTGACACCGCGCTCTCGCGGGCCATCGCTTCCTCTTCCTCTTCCCTCGTTCTCGTGTAGCTTGCGCGTTGCTTTCAGACCTACGTTGATGTTGGAATAAGAAGAAAAAGCTGCAATCCTATGTTTTGGTTCATTTATACATATATTTGTGGCTATGTGACAAGTTGCATTACTTTGGAAGTACGCGGAGAAAGACGTTTGAACAAAGTGCACAAATGTGATGTGTAATTAATTAGTCAACGGTTCGATAGAATTAGAAATGGAGCCATACGATTTAGTTCTGATTCTTAGAAATTAGAATCGAAACAAGAAACGATGATTCCAAATTGACTAAATAAAAAAATAAAATAAAACATGAATAAGTTGGATATTTTATATTTAAAGTTTATTGACTTGAGTTTGAATCTTAGCGAAGTATCTTATTTTTCTTATCAATCAAAATTAGTTGATCAAATCGGAATCAAAACTAAATCGACTGTTTTATTTTCTGGAACTCACATTTAGAATTGAAATTAGTGGTTCTGAAACTACTATCATGCTATTTATAATACTCACCACAATAGAGATAGAAGTATGTAAGTTTATGAGCTTGCATTTTTAAAAACTTTAATTGACTTATACAATGATTAGATATAATTATTATCATTGAGTTATATTTAAATATTTTCAATCAGTAATTGAGACTCAACGAAATTAATGAGTGTATTATTGGGCACGACAAGCTTGAGTTATAATGTAATCCGATAAACTAACAAGAGGTTTTTTCTATTTTCTTAGTAATAATATGCAACAACATTCTAACCTAAATAGTATATATACAACAACACATACATGAGACATCCTATATTTCAAAGGCATGTATCCATTTACAAAGCCTAATCAAACATTGATAGGCTGAAAACACACATAAAATGATGAAGTTTATTATTGTTGGACCTAATTTTCTTTGAAGTTCCAGTTCTTGATTGGAAGACACTGATGACCTTTAGATCAAACCTGATCTGACTCCAGTTTAAGATTCAACCTTCTAAAGCCTTACTATCCATGTTAGTTCTTCTTTTTGGTATGGTCCATGTAACTCCACAAGCCCATCTTTAGGTGGCCAAGCTAGTCTGTCCTTTGCTTTAAATCTTAACCAAATTAGGACTAATATTTGTATTTAGAGCACATTATATAAAGAGAGACATGAAACTTTTCATGCTTATACCTATATTTCTTATGTGCATAATTATTAGGGCTCAAGTATTTTGAACTGAAACATTAAACCTCCACTGCATGACAATTGCTTACATGATATTGGTGTGCATCCACTTCTATGCAACTATGGAAGCTTATGCTTACATCTAAGGGAAGAGCACTTTGGCCAATCCCATTCCACAAAGACATAAAAGTAAGCATGCCAAGATGAATCATTTTGCTGCTGCCAGAAAGAGAAATGGAAGCTCCCAATACCAAGTTAGACATTATGACATACAACAGATTTGGATCTGATGGAACTAATGCAGAAGGTGTATGCAGATATATCATGCTGGGTTCCTGGCCACCCAACTTCCCTTTCTTAGCTGAACTGGATCTTTTCCAGTAAGGATTCCAGCTACTGCATTAACTGTAGAAATCCCAGATGCAGATTCTCACCTAATGCAGAATTTTCTTTCAAGAAATCCCATATGTTCAACTGCACTTCTGAATTATCACCTAATCTTTTCCTACTGGCCATTGTCATGATCATTATGGACTTGTGGTAGCATGGAAAATGTTCAGTGAAGGAAAGAACAGAAATCAAATATCTATATGAACTACATATTCTAATCGGAAGACTTTAAAGTAGATCACCATCCCAAGCAGTGAACTGCTACTTCTAATCTGAAATAAACTCATTTTAAAGAAAAAGTTTATCTTGTTTTCTAGCAAAACAAGCATTCTTGCCTCTTTCATTTGCATGAATTTGAGATGGTTGAAAGACTGAAAAATTCAGAATTGAGTGAATTACTATGAAGAATCTGAATGGTTTCTCGCAGAATGTATGAAAAAATTATTAGCATTAAATTATTATATATTTTTATGAAGAAAAAAGAATTATTCCTACAATAGAACTGGTTTCCATTTTATAACACTAATTTTTTTAACTTGTGAAAGATCCAAAAAATTCATTTGTAAGCACCAATTGAATTATTTTCGAGAAGTTTGGAGGACAAAATTTACGGAAACTTTGACTTGCTATGAATTTTAATTGATATTTTTAACCAAACATAACTATTCGTAATGGAAATAATATTTCACCCAAATTTGCCTTATGGATATTAATCTTAAACAGTATATACATGCAATTTTCGTAACATTGATTTAGAAGCGCACGCTTATTAAATAGATGTATATGATGCAAGGTGGCTAAGAAGTCGTTGGAGTAGTTGATACACGGATTCGGGAAGTCAGTCGTTGACCCTGCATGAAACAAAGATGCGCGTTGGACCGCTCAATGGATTCGCCAACGAACGCGGTCGGACATTTCGGACCGAAACGAACAGAGCTCTTCTTCCACCCGTTAGCTCGTTCGTCACACTCTCCAACCTACCCGTTCTCCAATTGGTCTTAGATTGTGGGTCCCATAAAAGCACGTCAGCGGGTCGGCCGAAATAGTGGAACCTACATTTCTCGTTAAATAACTGGTCGCGTAGGGACGCTTTACATGGGTGCCGCACACCATGGTGAGGTATCCGATTCCTACCCTATCCTCCTCAACGACCTGTAGTTTTATTGGACGAAACCAGGGCTCCACAAGTGGGCCCCGAAATTGTCCAAGGGTCTCCCGTCACGGGTAAGAAAGTACTGGCGGGGAAGAGATGCCGGAGCGCGCGACACCATTAGTTCGCTCCCATTCTCGTGCCACCTCGTGTAGCGCGTTACGCCTCCCTTTGGGTAGCGACGTAAGTTACTCATCCCATTCCTTATCGCAAATGCGAGCTCCACATCAGCACGTCGTTCCCTAAGTGTTGCCGAAGCCGTGTGTTGATGGGCATCCCACGCCACCGAAAAGAAACCCAGGCGTGCTGGCAAAATCAAGTCTTCCTTTTCCTTTTTCCTCTCTTTATTATTATTATCATCATTATATATTATTATTATTATTAATTATTATTTTGCGTTACCTTTCTTTTCCTCGTCTTGTCGTCGCCTGACTCTTCCATCGCCGCCGCTCTATCGCCTTTCTAATCCTCCTCCCTCTTCTCCCCCACCCGCCTCCCCAGCTCGGATTCGATCGATCCGGTTCGAACTTTTGGTGGATTGGAGTTTTCTCTCCCAATCGCGTTCTCCTTACCGGAATCAGATCCCTTTTCGGGGTTCGTCCAGAGATCTTGATCCTGGAAACTTCGAGTCGTTCGATTCTAAAGAGGAGGTGGTGAATGATGGCCGTAATAGGAATCCTTCGTTGAGGCTTTCTAGCTAGCTTAGCTGCTCATGATCTGGGAGTTGGTGTAAGGGAGATGTTCGTTAGCCGGCCGGCGGTACACCCTGTGGAGGCGCCGCCTCTTACGGATGCGGCCGAGAACCCACCCAGGGTGAGGATGAAGGACATCCAGGGCATGCCGGGGACGCCTGGGGGCCTCGCCCTTCGCTTGTTCCAATTCGCGTTCGCGGTTGCCGCGCTCGGCGTCATGGTCTCCACCAGCGATTTCGCCTCCGTCACCGCCTTCTGGTAACTTTGTCCTTGTCATTTGTTTCCTTCTTCCCCGTTTCTTCGCACAGATCAGCACCTCCTTAAAGTAATCGAATGGATCATTTACTTTCTTGTTCTACTATGAGTGATTTATATGAGATTCCCATTCTTGCCTTGTTATTGTGTACTATTTATAGGTCATTTGACTTGAAAAGTATTCCTCTTATATCTCTTTGGCTCTATTGGAGAGTGCTGAAACTTTCGTATTCGGAAAGGAATCTACAAACAGATTTGTTTTTTACTGAAAAGAATTTAATCTAAAGGTAAATTTTGCTTTCACATAATATGAAAAGGAAAAAATGATAACACATTGATGCAGCCGTGGTGCACTAATCAGGTCTAATGACTGAGAAACATAAAGAAAGTAATCTGGACTTATTGTGTATCACATTTAAATATTTAAAAGATCAAGTAATCACCTTTATTTCTCAAAAGGATAAATAACGATCTCTTTGATTTTTTCTACTCAATATGCTTGGTGACTTGCAGTGTACTCCTTTGGTCACCACAAATTCAGTTTCATAAACATGAGCTTGTGTCAATCTGGAAATAGAAGAGACAACAGCAAGGGCAAAGGCAAACATTACAGAACAAACATTAATAGTGAGTGCAGTGCTACTAATTGACAGGGAACAGAAAATTTGAAGCCCTTATATGATTAAGAGTAGAAACGGAGAACTGAGATCTTAAAGTAACTAATGTAACACTTGCCCGTGAACAGCATTGTTGAGTGTTTGTTAGAAGTGACTACTAGATACTACTGGATGATGAACAAATATAGAAACAGACACAACGATACACCCCTCTAGTGTCACCAAGAGAGGGGCCATTATTACTTTCAGATTTGACGCAGAGTTATACTGTGTACCATCCCTACGTAATTGATTCAAACTTCAAAGTTCATGCATGTTAATTCATGATTCAGGGTCATATCATGAACTCGGATAAGATATTTGGTGACGACAAGAAACTACCCTTATCTATGGTTGATTTTCCTGGACAATATTTCACATTTTGCTGTGTTTTTATGGCCCTTCTATGTTTACTGGTTATTATGATCATATCTGAAGTATAGAGTATAGACCATTATATATGCTAGTTTTGTCATTTTGTGTCTGTGTTAGTCACCTACACTTGTCAGATGGCACATGTTCCGTTTACCTATTTTAAATTATGACACATATGTAAACCACATGTCATCTGCATATGGCTTCTTGCCATATTGAATATAGGGTGTATGTAATTTAGGCTTACCATAATGCAATGTTATAAATAGGATGCTGTCGACATAGAAGAAGAGCATCTTCATAGTGGATAATGGATATCAGGTACTGTAGCAGCCACAAGCCCAAAGTGGATCACTATAAGGAAAATTGAGACTCCAATTGTCCATAAGTGTTTATCACATATAAATTAGAATAGCAAAATATACTATTTTTTACCTTTTATTTTAACCAAGGTTTGGTTAAGGGCTTATAGTACTAGTCGGTTGTATGGAACTGTTTTTGAAGTGGATTCTGTGTAAACACAACGTAGTGCGACAGCAGCTGCTACCAACTCAAAATGCTTTTAGGTTTCATTGTTTGTTTAGTATAGCACTTTCCCTTAAACCATTATAGCAGTTACTAGTGTTGCATTTTAGAACGATGCTATGATAGTTTAGATATGGTTGTGGATGATCACATTTTTGTAAATATGGTTTGAAGTACTTCTGTAAATGCATGCTATGATCACCTTTGATGTCCTAGATTATCTAAATCTACACATATTACATCTGATCACATAAAATTGTAACAATCTATACAAACTATTATTTATTAATTGTCATGTTTAAGCCATATTGGGTATACTTCACAAAAATTTGCCACATCAATATGTCTGAATTCTTTTGTGTCCTTGTCCATGCTTCATAGGCAAACTTACTTAACAAACTCATTCACCATAACATCTTAAGGATTTTTGAAAGATTTGCACATTTTGTCCATATATTGAGCTAGCTTCTTTTGTTAAAAATTATGTCCTAATAAAATGTATCAAAGAAGCAGGAAGCTCTGTGCTGTTCTTGTCGTTTACTAAGGTCTATACTGATGTGATCTTAGGCCTCTATCCACAAGATTCTATTAAAATGCTTAAATTTATTTTTCTGGATGTATTAGGTCCTGTTAGCAAGGTTTATCATTTTAGCTGAAGATCTAATTTTTGCTTTCATTTGGTATCGTGGATTTGTTATCATCAGTTCTTCCTTCATTTTTTGGTTTTCTCTTTGAACTTTTCATTTGTGAAACTAGTTTATTCCAATTTGTTGTTCAATTAAACCTTTACCATTGGAAATTATATGGTTTGTCTTATCGGTCCATACCGATGTAATGACCAGCCATTGGTATGGTACGTATTAAACTGTACTAATGTACTGACACATGATATAATGGGGCATACCGACAGATTGATATGTCCCATCCATATCGGTATTTGTGGTATACCATGGTACGGCGAATCTTGGGAAATTCCATAGCTGCATGCTTAGCATTTGGAGATCGATCTTCTGATTTGTCTGCATTACTTTTTCAATTCTCATGTGGGGCCTATTTTCAAATTATACCAGTTTTAAATAGCCTCTTGTTTGGTACATGTTATCTGGTCTTACACATTTAAAAATATTTTTTATTTGCAATGTCAATGCACAATCTGATAAGATTTTCTAGGTTGACCATTTTGCAAGATTATCCTCTTATAGATGGGTTGGAAAAGTTTCTCTTGATAGTAGTTTCCAGTAAATGATTTATATCTTTAATGCTTAAAAGTATATTTCTCCCTTTTGAATGTAGACCTCTTTGACCTTTGAAGAATCTTTTTATATGTTGCGGAAGATCTTTTCGTTTGGCTTCATGTTTAGGATGTCTAAAGGGAGTCCAAGTTTTATTCATGTCCACTAGTTACCATTATTTTCTGTTGGAAGCCTGCATCTGTAACATATGGATGCAATAATGCTAGAAATATACCTACTGGATTATAAGTATTGTGTACCATAATTTGAATAGTGTTGTTCTTGTTCGTTTACCCTTAATCACCTTTGGCTATGAAATTAAAAAATCTAGTTAACATAAATAATGGTCATTTAGACAATTATGCATCAGTAGTAGTTTTCGATTCACCTTTTAGAGTTTGTATGTTAAGAAACCAGTGTCCGTTCCTACATATCTTCCTTTTTTTTTTTATTAACTGATGACATATGTGTCCATTTTAATTAATTGCTTTCAGCCTGTATACTAATTCAATGTTCTACACTTCTACTAGGACTATGATTGATGAGTTGCATACTAGTAACTTTAATTAACTTATAACAAGTTCCATCAAAGTGAAGATAAGCTTGTCACAACAAAGTTTGGTTGATCTGTTATGAGCTAACCGGTACTGTAAAGTACCGAACAAGTCCTTGTCATACTGTGAGTTGCTCTATGCAGTTGATTGTAATATAAGAAGATTCATTAGGTTTTTGTCTGAAAGGAAATGACTCAAAGCAATCAATAAATGCTTTTGTTTAAGGTTTGAACTGTTGGTAGATAGAACTCTCCTGTAAGTTCACACATATCTACAGCCTCAAGGTGAAGTCAATCTCGTCGATTCATCATGATATTTTGAAGCAGTTAGAATAAATTTCATCTGGCTGTTCCGTTGCATCTGCTAATCTCTGTAACAATTTTCTTTCTGGGAGTCTAGTTCAGCAACATGCAGCCGGTAATTTCTGTAGATCTTTCTAGTAGTCTTGTTTTGACAATTGGTTTACATTCATTATCCATCTAATTTGTCTACTGTGAACCTCATCATTGGTGAAAGGTAATCTTACAATATCTTTAAGACTGTATAGACCAAGAGGTCTAGACACAACCTTAAACTGTTAAAAAGCAAAAGAGTATAACTAATAGATTAGGGGAGTAGAAAAAAAAAAAAGTGTCTGCTTTTTTCACTGTGGAAAAAGACTGCTGCTAAACAATGTAGTGGTGATTGCTGTTGACCTGAACATGCTTGTTGGCATCAATGACAACTGCCAACAAAGTAGCAGCATCACTAGCTTATGGCAAAGCTTGCCTGTTGTCATCATGGGCCATCTTGTCCCATAGGTAGCTATTACACGTGGGCCTCTGTCTTCCTTGGCATTTTGGAACCCAATTTGCAATAAGTTCAAAGGGGAGATGACTTTAGGTCATGGAGCCTTGACTCAGTTTTCGGTTGTTGGATATTGGGTTACTAGAATTTTGTTTCTGGATTTGAGTTTCATTCTATATATTTTGATAATGTATGTGTCTTGGTGCCCAATGGTGGAGCATGCATTGTGTGTGCTTGACTATTCTTACCTCTCCTAGAGACATACAGTTGCTGGATTGTGCCTTGGGTGCACCAAGAGAGTCAAAGTGCTTTTACCTACACTGCAGAGAAACAAATCAATATTTCATAATATTGCCCTCCCACATTCTGAAGATGGGTTTTGGAATGATGAATCCTCATAAAAGCGGCTACACGAATTAGATTATCTTAGTTAATTTTCTCTTGTCCTTGGCCCAAGTAATCGAACCATGTTGACAGGCAATTTACAATATCATGTTACACACTCTTCCTATTCCAGCATCTACTCCACCACGTGTAGATCCCTCTTGTATCTACTAATCCCTTGTCATGGATATTTGCCCTTTTCTCTTCTCACAGAAATGGTCTCTTTAAGACATTCTCTCCCTAGACCCTGAAATAGCAGGATCCTCGTTCACTTTTCTTTTATCAGACATATTGATCAAGAACATTAAATTATGACTATTTGTGATCCTAAAGCAAATTTTGCAGAAAAGTGAACATCTTTTGTGGTTTGATACACCTCTGTCATTACCTTTCAAAGTCGTACGGTTCATTAGGTTGTTCAGAGAATAAGAATTTGATGTTTCATTTCTCTCATGAATTCTTAGGTCCTGTTATTTGTTCTGTCATTAAGTTATATACCATTTTGCTGGAACTATTGATTCCATAATAACATCTTCTTTTAGCAATTCCACTTTGTTTTATACTAGAAAAGGTGCTTCTGATTTTGCACAAACAGTTTACTTCATAAGTTTCCTATAAGACCTTCCCTAATTGTTTGAGTGGAAGATGAAGGTGCCAGTGACTCTAGTTTAATAGACTGAGTGTATATCAGCATCAGAAATTTTAAATGTCATTCTTCTAGGAAGGTGTCATATCAGAATCAATTTGTTCTTATCTATTCACCATAAAACTTCTGTCATAGCATTTAGGAAGATGTGTTTTCTGCTCTTGATGCCAAGTACCCTTCTAATTGAGGAATCACTCTATAGAAGTAACATCTTTTGGTCATTCTTTTACTCAAGGTTTATGTCTTTGTTAAGACGGTCTGACTTATATTTTATTGCCATGTCTGGGATAAAGAATCTAGGTTGACATTTTATTTCGGTAACTCATCACTTGTATACTGGTACTGTACAAGAAATATGTAGCTGAGCTTTGATGAACAAATCAAAAGGTTCTTTGTTAAGTTTCCTCTTTAATTTTGATGAATATTACATCACTCTTCCTCTGTTCCTTTCCCTCTTCTCGCTAGTTTGTAAAGTTTGCTCTTCATAATTTGGGGAACTAGGTATGCTACATCAATAGTCATTTAACAATATGGTAATCAATACAACAACAACTAGAAGCTTCAGTGTCCCAACTATCTTAGGTTGGCTACATAGTTATATTTTCTTTATTGATTCTATACAAAACAACAGTATTAGCTAGATCAATAGAATTTAGATCTTTAGTTATAGATTCTAGCAAAGTCTTTTAGGTTTCCTTTGCCTTTTGCACCACTATCACTAATGTCTCACCCCAGCTAACCATAGCTGCATTTATCAAGGCTGTCTAATCATTCACAAATAATTTTTTTTATTCATGGTAATAGTTCTACACAATTACCTTAACATACTCATTTTATCAACACAAACATTTTGTACATGCTCCATAATTTCAATCAGTCCTTAAAATTTACCCTTTTTTTCCATTTGGCTCCATGATTTTAATTAATATTTCCATCAAATCCTGCCGTCAACTTTCATTTATAAGCAAGCCCCGATGGGGAACTAGCTTGACTGCGTATCAAGACTTGCTTTACCAACCTAGCATTAGTGTCTTTAGGAATATGTTTTGAGTACCACCCTGGGTTTGGTCCCAAACTGAAGCTAGTATTGAGTTTTGAACCCCAGGGACCACATTGGACAACTTTCAAATGGTGCTTATGCCAAGCGAGTTAAATTCTACTATACAATTTGGTTAGCTTTCTAACAAGGCCTGTGAATAGGAGCTAATTGTAGGGGACATGATTGAAATATAATTGTAGTTTTCAGAGTCAATTGCAAAATTGGAAGTTTTGGGTTCAGTTGAAATATGTCTAGTAATTCAAGGACTAGTAATGTATTCCCCAATTTTAGACCCAAATGGGAAAGATTTATCTATATGCTCAATAGTCCTCTATAATATGCTGTGTCAAGCCTTTTATCATAATCTGCTTATTACTTTATTACTTTCATCCGTGTGGATATACTCATGTCTTGAATCACTTTCAAGCAAGGATCTAGATATCAGTCCAGCTTCCGATTTTGAGAAACAGTCATCGATATGAATCTTTTTCCTCCATTGTGGCAGCATCTGTTTTTTTTCTTTCTACCTAACTCGCAAAGTGCTGGTTGACTGAAAAAAATCATGATGATTGAACAGTCCAATAGTTGGTAAATTGACCACTCAAGGAAGTCACTCGTATGACATAATACAGTTAAAGAAATTTTTACGTTTTGGCAACTTCTTTAAAAAAATCCCTTGTTATGCTTCTTTTAAGATTGTTAGCATTGACATATATGCAGAATTTTTTCTGTTTGTAAGGTGTTAGCAACTGTAGCAATATAAGATGAAACTGCAAATTTGAACCTTCTGAAGTAATTTTTCCTTTTATTGTGCAGCTATCTGGTTGCAGCAGTCATCTTACAGTGCTTGTGGAGTATCTCGTTAGCCTTTCTGGATATATATGCTCTTCTAGTAAAACGCTCATTGAGGAATTCCCGTGCTCTCTGTCTGTTTACCATTGGAGATGGGGTAAGAAAATTTGTGGGGTGCTTGATGGATGTTAGTTTCATGTCTTCACTCTAAACAAGTTATTAGTGGCTTTTTGCATGTGGATAAGCACCTGGATTGTGCCATATGAGTTCACACATGAAGTCAGCATGCTTTACAAAAGCAATTTTCTTTTTCAAATCTATCATCTAGAATTTGAATATGCATCAATTTGATTATGTCTAAGACCATACATCATGCATGGGATAATAATGAAACTTTGAAACCACTTTTTCTAGTTCGACAAAGGAGGTGTGGACAATATTTTCTGTTCCAACAACCTACCGGCATGTAAACCAGAATAAACTAGGCAATACGCCTGGTATAGGACCTATACCACTTGGTACCTTTGGTACAATACCACCAAGTATAAGGCCTGTCTCTCTTGGTACACTCCAGACCAGATTGGCATGGATTGATCTGTCTCGATCCAGACCAGGTCCGGTACATGAAATGAAAAACCTCAATGCTGTTATTACCATGAGAGTGCTTGATGTTATTCTGGGTGAGAATTTTTGTTCTTTTCTTTTCTCTGGCAGATAATTTCTCTGAATTCTCATGCAGATCACATCCACACTGACATTTGCAGCTGCCTGTGCATCGGCCGGCATTACAGTACTGATCGGTAATGATCTCAATGTATGCTCACAGAATCACTGCACAAGCTTTGAGACTGCCACGGCGATGGCTTTCATCAGTTGGTTTGCAGTCTCCCCATCATTTCTGTTGAACTTTTGGTCATTGGCATCGAGGTGAAGGGCAAGAAATGACTCATGATTTCCTATTGGTGTGGCCTTGAAGTCTTTCTTCTTTTCCTTCCTCTGATCAACAGTTAAGCTCCCCATTGCTGTCATTTGTATAGTATGATAATGTGGGTGTGAATTACGCAACATAACAGATCAAATGTATGAGTTTTGGCACTCATGGTTTGTTGATTATTAGGCATCGGCCTCTTTTTGTCTCCCGATCGTTTACGCTTTGTGGTCTTTAAACTTAGCCATGTAAGAGAACATGATGTTATGAACTATTTGCAACTCTGCATATACTAACGGATGGAGTTTTATTTTTTGCTCCAAGGAACGTTTTATCCCTCCCATCCCCCTTGAGGTCTGCATTGCACACTACTCATTGCATGTTGTTGGTATGGATATAGTGATAGAGAAAAAAAAAAAATTGATGTCTTAATCAGTTTGATGTGATTCGAACTCGTATGTTGAGGTGTCTCTGAGGTGGAAACATCAAGCTCCCGCGGTGTCACTTATACGAAGACTGAGGTTAGGAGAGATTTTTCGACCTTGTCCCTCCGATGCTCATATTAGTAACTCAAGATATATGAATACGGACGTGAGTAGTAAAAAAAGATAACCCCTCTTCTCATTGTGTTGAAGACGAGCTTTTATACTTGATCGTAACAAAATATAATACTTCAGAGAATATTTTACGAAGAGGCAGTCTCTAACCACATCCAATAGCCTCCCATTGGCCTCTTGTCCATGTGGGCGACAAGGGAGACAACATATAACCGTTTGTCTTAGACCCTCATCCACATGGGTAGATAAGTGGAGGGTGGCCTTTGTCTTCTCCTTTCACCCTGGACATTATGTGGAGGCCATGTGTTAAATGACATTGGCTGACTTTGTTTTTCTTATCATTTGCCTCCCCTAACTAAGGCGTGCTTCAAGGCTCTCATAAGAGGGATCCAAAATATGACGTCTAGTTCACCCGACATATTAAGCTTATACCTCCTCTTTATTTAGTTCTCTAAATCCACGTGTTAGGAGGATGCTGACAAAGTCGGAGGGTGCTCGACCCACACCTAGAATGGACGATCTCGATCCCTTGGTTGACATGCATTTCTCAATAGCAAATCAAACCTTACTGATGTGAACCCGACCCTCATTCGGGCGTGGAGGTCAGCAATGATGGGGATCGATTTCCCAACCTTCGCGGCTCGACAGCAACAAAAGGGGAGGGTCAGGTTTTCCAACTTTCATACCTTGGGCGGAGGAGGGGGTGGGTTTCCTCCTTGGCTTAGTGTGGATTACAAGTGACGGGTGCGAGCATTATTTTAAATGTGCTAAGGATGATGACTTAATGAGCCCAACAAAGGACAACGAGACCCAAGGCTTTGATCCTCTCAAAAAAGCCCTTGAGCGAGAAGTGATGGGGATCATCAACGTCATTATTTGCATTAAAGAAGCCCTCGAGCATTATGCTGGACACAGCGAAAGGGTCTCACAAAACAGAGGTGGTGACCATGTGGTGTCGAGGATACGAGACCTCGTAACAAGATGAAAGTGATGAGAGCTCATGATAGGACAAGGCGATGAGTGACGAATGAAAATATTGAGACTTCATGAAAATAAAGCAAAATAGAAATGCTGTAGAAAAAAAAATATATTGAGACTTCTTTTTTTTTTTTTTGTTGAGAATTTACCATTTTAATTTTGGTACTATTTGCTTCTTGCCTTCGTCATAAGCGAATTTTATGTGCCTGACAGCCATTCTAGAAAGATCTTCTAACCGTGTGCAGTTCTTTGATTTGCCCAACATCCTGCAGAAAATATTTCCTTGCATCATTTCTGAAGTGCCCACTTAGCTCAAATGATATTGTGGTAAACAAGAACAAAACCCTGCGCTATCCATCAGAGTAACATCCATCCAAAAGCCTACTCATCAATCACAGCTAACCAATATGAATTAAAATACATATGGAATATATAGAATATTTGGAATTCCCCTGATATTCTTATAAATATGAGTTTCCTAAAGGATATTAACTCGTTTAGAGTTTCAACGAACGGTAAAACAATCAGGAAAATAACTACAATGGCAAGTTTTAGATTTTGCAAGAATATATATATATATATAT